TTCGAACTTAACTCAGAGTCTCTGTATGATCTGACTCCATTGCCAGCCTGACCTCAACAACCACTTTCCCTGCGCACTCTGTCCTGGCCACAGGGCTTCTGTACTTGTTTTTCCCACGCCCTGGCTATGCTTCCTCCAGAGTCTCATGGCTCATTCTTTCATCACCTTCAAATCTCGATTTAAATGTTACCTCACTTTTCTGAGTACCCTAATAAAGATTACACCATTCTCCACCCTACACACCTCTTGCTCATTTTTCCTCTAAAGAACTGATCCAAACCACAATACTTACGGGATTTATTTTACTTACGAGATTTATTATCTGCCTTCTTCCACTAGAATATAAAGTCTGAAGTCAGAAATTTTGAATGATTTATTCAATAATGTATCCCCAATACCTAGAATCAAGTGTGGCTCATAGTAAGTCTATCCACTATGTACAGCCTCACAGGTTATATACTGCACAAAACCAGAGCACACAGTTCACATGACAATGGTGACCCCTGGAATTATGAAACATGTCAGCCTTGTAGGAGCTCAATAAACATTTGTTTAATCGAATTGAACAAAATATTTTGCCATAGTATTTTAAGTACACCTCTCAGTAATCTCCAGAAAAATCTGTAGTATTGAAGGATCACTTACAGAATATAGAGACCCACAGAACAAAGGGAGACATTTATAAAAAGCTCCTGGATTGTGGGTTTAAAACTACCCTACCTGCACCACTCTAAATACTGTTTACTAACTAAAGTATTTTGAATTCCACTGGAGGTGGGCAAATTGGCTATGTTTTGGGAGTCTGCATAATCACTATTTTCCCACAAGATAATTGAACAGTAAGTGTTATTTAAAGTAGTCTTGGAAGAGTTCCCAGTTTCACTGTAGGAAAAAAGTAGTCTATGTCTTGGGATTTTGTTTTGGTCTGAGAATGAGCACACATGACTATTCAGGTAGCTCTTTTGCATGGTTGAGATTAAATTAAATCCATTTCTTAAAAGAAGTTTTGCCATATTCCAGCAGAATTTGTGCACCAATGTATCTTTTATAACATTCTGTCCTGGTATCCCTCTTCCTGATACAATTGCTTATGTAGTTTTATGGATAAATATACCAGCCTCCATGACTTCCTGTCTGATTAATTTAAGAATGTCTCAATTACCTGGGAGTGGCCACTGGTGGCTGATGTCACAGGCTGTCCTCAAGATGGTGAGTTGGCAGGAACCAGATTCCTCTGAGGCCTCAGGAAGGAAGTGAGGACTTATCTGCTGTGGACTTTCCCAGTGAAGGAGGTGGGCCGTAGTCTGTAAAACTGTCTCTGTAATCATTATTATGTCTGAGAGGCCACTTTCTAATGTGCTTTCAGATACTTAAGGAATGAGGCATGTGTGATTAGGACACTGTATGTTGAACAATGACCAGAATGGTCTGGTTATCCACTGTTTTCTACTGTCTTGTATTAAGAGCTTAAAACACCTTAAAACTGTCAAAGCTTTATTTGCTTTTATTTGTATTCTTCCAGATAATTTTGAATGCTTTCACATACCTCTGCTGAGTGGCACACAGCAAGGCAGATGCTTGCCTCTCTGACTCACTTAGGGGGGCACTGTTCTCACAGTGGTAGTGGTGATGTCATAACACCTCTTGATCTTCGTTATCAGATCTTGAATTTGAGATGGGAGGAGTTGAAGGGGAGAGTGCTCAGGGAATGCTCAGTTGACACAAAGCAGAAAATAGCTTTGTGCACCTTCTGATGGCAGTAACAGAGAATTTGTGGTGTGGCTTTACTGCTAAAGGCTCTGAGGAACAAGAAACTTAAATTTTAGATCAGAAACACTTTTTGTCTCCCAGGATGTCTCTCTTAGGCTATAGGGAAGACCATAATGGAAGTCACTTGAATTACAGATTTTGGAAGTATTTGAACATACCCTGCCTTTACCAGCCACTGCCAAGAGTGCAGCTTAGACTCCTCCAGGGGGATGTGCTCTCATAAGGCAGGTGGCCAAGGCAGATGCCTGGGCTGCAGCCCCTCCCACACCATAAGCCACAATCCCACTCCTAATTAGTGTAGCCTTGCTCTCCATTTCTTGTTTCTGTTCAGATAGTTATCTCAGCCCTATGCTAGGTCTTCATGCAGTTTAAAGGAAAGAGAAAAGTTCAGAAGTCAAGCTTCAGAATTGAGTACAGTCAGCTCTCCCCAGTCATTTGATCATGAAGAAGTTGCTCATCCTTCTGTGTGTCAGTGATTCCATCTATAACATGGTGATAAGGTAATTTCAGACTTGTTTTGCTCATTAAATAAGAAAATGTATGGAAAGTCTTGCACCTGCTAGGAAATATAAAACTTTCTGTAATTAATAGAAATTTCCAATATGACAAGGGGCAGAATAACATTCCTATGATAGTTTTTTGCTATAAGGCACTATTCCTTCTTTTTTTTTTTTTTTTTTTTTTTTTTTTTTTTGGTACCGGAGATCAAACTCAGGACTTTTCGCTTGAGAGGTAGGTGCCAGAACCACTGAGCTAAATCCCTGGCCCTATTCATTTTCCTACACAGACTCCACAGTTTTTGTTGGGGGAAAATAAAGTAAAACTGTGACATGTCATAGATATGTGGAGGCTGAAACAGAAATAGCTGACAAAATAACTTTAACTTGATTGATTTTGAGTTGGTAGACTTTTTCTCTTTTTTTTTAAACTTTTGCTTGGATTAAAAAATGCTCCTCAATTAGAACAGAATTAAGGATCTTCTACTTAACTTTTCCTCAACCAGGACAGTTCTTTTAAATCATAATATAGAATTGTTCATTCACATGTTCAACAGGTAGTTATTTAGTCCTATGGGCACATGATCCCTAGCCCTCACCTATCTTTCATCTCTGGTGGGGAATCCAGCCCCCAGATTTGGAAAAGAAAGAGGAACTTACTGGAGGAAAGAGTGTGTAACAGATGACCTAAATAATGAGTAGAACTTGCCAGACACAGAATAGCCAGTGTGAAGGTCTGGTAGCAAGAGAGAATCTGGTCTGCAGAGGAGTGAGTTCCTGCAATATTGGAGATTCAGGAAGTATTGAAGTTGCAATACAGGAGTTGACTGCAATATTGGAATTTCAGCAAAGTACAGAAAAGAGACAGGGTTGAAAAACAAAGCTGGGGGCTAGGTCATGTTTACCTCTTTGTTATGCTTTGAGGTGTGTCCGGCGCACAAAAGTCACAGGAATGCTGTGTAGTACCACTGTGTATTTTTTTTTTTTTTTTTTTGTACCGGGGATTGAACTCGGGTCCTTGCGCTTGTGCAGCAGGCAGCAAAACCACTGAGCTAAATCCCTGGCCCATGTAGTACCACTATGAATGAAGACTAAAGACTTGTACAGGTGCAGTTTTAATATATAGTTTAATATACAGAGAATTCATGAGATTTCTGTTTTCCTCTGAGTGGTTATGAATTTGAACAGCATCAGATATGCTTGAATGTGCATTGAGATTCTGCCACTGAGTCCTTTCCTCCACTACAGTGAATATGGGCATGTCCTAACACCCAACAATCAGATTTCATTTTCAAAAATTTTAAGCTGCTTGATATTATCATAACCTTGACTCTACTATCTTAACAGCTAGATAATGTTATAGTATCAGCTCACAAAACAACAAAAATCTTTCAATTCTAAGTGTAGTCAAAGTTAACCAAATTAAAGTATTCTAAAATGTTCTACAAGAATAACTTTAAAATCAACAAGGGCAGAAGTTTATTGGTAAACTATAACCTTTTATCCTTTTGTCCATTTTGCATCTTTTGTGCATGTCAATGCCCCACAGAGGAACTAAATTATATCTTTCAGTTCATTTATCTTGTTATTTAATTTGTCATGTATTTTAAATGGTTTTTCTACATTTGGTGGAAAAGACATTTGCTTTAGTTTTCTTGTGTCTACTATAGCACATTCACATGGAGACACATGTTTAATTGATAATAAATTATACAGAAGGCCTGTGAGAGAATTTAAATTTCACAGATAATCTAATCCTTTCCAATTTTGACAAGAAGAACAATGTTGAAGCAAATATGGTTCCTTAGGAGTTAACCTGCAGTTTCTAAAGATCAGACTGTTACATGGACTTTCTGTGGTCAGACACATCAAGTGAGTGCTTCAGCAGGGAAACACACAGTCTCTAGTTGGAGAAGCTCTGCAGGAAGTGAGACTAACCAAAGGAAGGATATGAGTGCCAGCTTCATCCTGTATTTTAGATATACACACACTGTTACACATAAGAACCTCTTAATGTGTTCTGTGTTTTTGCTAAGTATCACCACAGAATGACAATAAATATAAAGCTACTTTAGTAACTCATCTGATCCCTAAATAAAATAACATATGACAATATTTAGGGTGTAGAAAGCACTCAATAAATGTTAGTTGTTGTTCCTGGGTTTTAATGTGATTTCATGCTTTAGAGCTATGCTGACAAATATGGTAGCCTCAAGCTATGTGTGGCTGATGGGCCATTGAAATGTTACTTGTCTGTATTGAGATGTGGTCTAAATATAAAATAAACACTCACTTTCTAGGTCTTAGTAGGGAAAAAAGAATCAAAATAGCACATTTATAAATTTTATGCTGACTTTATGCCTGTTTGGATATATTGAGGTTAAAATATATTATTAAATTGGATTTACCTGTTGTTTTTTTGTTTTATTTATTGATTCTAAAAAATTTAAAATTCATAGTGGTTCACATCTGTGGCTTGCCTTATATTTCTCTCAGACAGCACTTCTTTGGTGAGATCTCTCAGGGTGTGTGATAAAGTAGCCATATTATAGGTATTCATGAAGGGTCACGATCAGCTGAGAAGAAAGGAAGTAGATCAAATTATAACTGGGCAAACATGAAGTTAAATATGTGTTAAGTGATTTTTGGTCATTTTAACCTTTAAGAAACTATCCTTAATGTGTTAACTATATTTATACATACTATGTCTAATTTTCAAAAATCTGTTTCTAGGTTACTGGTTGGTTCGCCTTGGAGTGGCTTTCCAGAGAACAGAATGGGAGATGTATACAAATGCCCTGTTGACCTGTCCACTGCTACATGTGAAAAACTGAATTTGCAAAGTAAGTTCTAATTACCAGGGTGGTTTCTAGCAAATAGCAAGATCTGCTTTGTCATATACTCCACTGAAAAATAACAGTAGAAGCAGTCATTATTCTGTCTTAAAGAAATGTCAAGGGTTTTATTTATTTTGATCTTTATCTCTTAAATCATATGGGGTCCAATAGAATCCAAATTTCCTAAACAGTCTGAAGATCTGATTTAGCAGGATCCATAGGAAGTGTGGTACTTCCTGGACCAATCTACCCTAGACCATGGACAGATTACTGTCAGTGTTAGAATTATTTTGCCAATCACTTGAAGAAATCTGAGGCTATTCATATCTCTCTCCCTCCCCTTTGCAAAACAAAGCATTAGATACAGAAATATTAGCTCTAGGGTTGAGTTTGGAGGTGCCAAGAAGCACTCTGTATTTTAGATTCTATCCAAATGATTGCATTCCAGTAAAAAAAGCTCACAACTTGGAATTATTTGCTATTTAATTTCCACATCTCAGGCACTTTCTATTGTAATACAAAAAATTATTGAAGATGAGAGAATAGTTAAATGATAATACTTCCACACACTAATTTCTAGTGTAAATAAATAAGTCACTCAATTTGATCATCATCATATCAGCATTGATTAAAAAAAAATCCAAAAAACAAAAAATCCCCATAATGAGATGTCATAGAGTTCTTCTAAAAAACTGAAGCATTAAACGTTGTGAAATCAAGGAAAAGAAAAGTTTCAAAAATAGTATTAAGAATTGGCGCTGGAGATGTTGCTTTGGAACAGCACTTGCCTAGCATGCGTGAGGCCCTGAGTTTGGCTTCCAGTATAGGAAAAAAAATTAAAACAAGGGCAGAGGTGTTTCTTACATATTTCTGTATATCTGATTTCTAGCACAATTTCTGGCTCAATAAACATATTTTCAGTGAGGTGGGAGGAATATCAATGGTATCACATACTACAGAAATTGAGTAATGAGGGCTAAGTAAAGATCTTCAGCGTGTTTAAGGAAGTTGCAGGTAATTGGAGATTAGTGATCTTCAAACATTGTGAACACTCATCACATGTGTATAATGACAATATTTAGTTAAGAATTAAATTATTTAATGATTTTAATAATAAAATATATTTATTAAAAGTGAGTGTTCAAAAGTTTTAGAACTATAGTTCAGAAACTTTATAATGCACCTCTAATATATCACCCTTGACTTCTGAACTCAGCCCTAATGCACCTATTTTTATTATTGTTTAAAGTTATATACATGTACTGATATATTCTAAATCATTCACTTACCTAAAAATAAATTCAAAGATTTAAAAACATAATCAGAGAGTCTCTATTATTTTCTTCCTTCACTCTAGCAAATCATATTTTCTGTAACTTACTACCTAGGTTATAAACCCAGTAGTTCTGCAGGGGGCAAATACCTAAGCATTTAAGAAGGGGTGGGCAGTGAACAAGTACAAGGAGTGACAGTGGACCTCTGTTTTTAGAAATTGAATAATGAAGGAGAGCTGGGTAAAACAGCTCTATAGGCAGCTGGATTAAGAGAAGATCTTTCTAGTAAAAGGGAGACGATCCTATGTGTAGGAGGAGAGTGTCAGGAGGTGGTAAAAGGGGATGACTATTAGATAGGAACAGAGTTCATGGATGGAATTAACGTCACCGGTGCCTGGGAAAATGACTCTCGGAAATAATGCTCCCTTCTCTAAGTCAGAGAGGAAGCAGAGAAAAAGTAAGGTTTCTAGGAATGACCCTCGCATAATGATGAGAGGACATGAGCTTACCCTGAGAGTGCGATTGGTCTTCTCTGCTATTCGCCGAGAGTGACAAGACCTGGGTTGAGTTTGGAGGCTTTCGAAGAAGTGTGAAGCTTTCTGACAGTCAGCCCAGGAAACAAGGCAAGGGATCCAACTAAGGATAAATGAAGGTGGCAGTGATGGTTTGGCTGACATGAGAGACCATGAGTAGAAGATATTGCCGAGGAGAATTGCGATGTTCGATACCTCAAGAATGGATACAGTGACTGAAATTTTAGTTCAGTGTGAGAGATCTAAAAGGTTGGAGGGCATTATTTCTTTTTTTTTTCCATTAAGTTTATTGGTACATTTTAGGTATACAATACAGTTACATTCATCATTGGGAGCTTGTACCTTTACGTGAGTATCTTGCTTCTTATTTTTTCCCCCATTCCCCTGCCCTCCCTTCACCCTCTCCATCCCTCCCTATTTACAAAGACTTTGTTTCCATTTTTTCTTTTCTTATATTTTTCTTTTCCCTTCTTTCCTTTCCTGTACCCCTCCCACTTCCCCTACTTCTTTAGACCTTTTCTTCCTATTTCACATTATCAGTTATACATTTTGATCCTTATTTACACTTTTAGTTTTTCACACCAGAGAAACTATTCGGTATTTACACATGTGTGTCCTATTTATTTCACTTAAGAGTATGGCCTCAATGTGCATCCATTTAGCTATAAATGTCTCTAGTTTGGAGAACGTTATTTCTTATTTTACCTGGTTAGTCTCCTGATTTCCTTTAAAAAAATATACCCACTGTTGCATTGAGGCAGATTCTATCAGAAGACATTCTTTGATAACTTTTAAAGTATATTTTTTGACAATCCAAGGGGGAAAAAGCATTAAATGGAGCCAATGCAACTATGGAAAGAGCAGATGTGGCAAACAGGAACAAAAAGTGTCCTCCAGTGTTTTGTTTAGTCAAATAATCGAACTTAATTATCCTCACCAGAGCCCACCCCCTAATATGTTCCTCTCTGCATCTTCACATATTAAATGAGATCTTAGATGAGATAAAGTATCTCATTTCTCTATACTTCATTATTGTGACTCAGGCTTCTGGATATCTGATATTGTATTCAGTGCTTTTATTTATTTTTATTTATTTATTTATTTTAGTTCTTTTATCGGTACATTTTAGGTATACAATTCATTTTCATTTATCATTGGGTGCTTGTACCTGTACATGATGTACCTTGGTTCTTATTTTTTCCCCATTACCTGTGCCCCCTTCACCCCCTCCACCCTTGCCTATTTACATAGATTTCATTTCCTTTTTTTTTTTCCTTTTCTCATACTTTTTCCTTTCCCTCTTTTCCTTTCCCCTTCCCCTCCCTTCACTCCTTCGTCTTTGGACCTTTTTTCCTATTTCAAATTATCAATTATTCATTTTAATCATTTTAGCCCTTGTTTACACTTTCAGTTTCTCACATTAGAGAAACTATTCGGTATTTACACATGTGTGTCCTATTTATTTCACTTAAGAGTATGGCCTCGATATGCATCCCTTTAGCTATAAATGTCTCTAGTTTCTCATTCTTTATGGCTGAGTAGTACTCCATTTTTTTTTTTTTTATAGAAAAACACATTTTCTTTATCCAGTTTCCAGTTCAGTGCTACTTTTAAACATTGGTGTGCCTGTTCGGTTTTTTTGATTTTGATCAACCTTAAATAAATGTGGATTTAATCTTTTTTAAAAATCTCTTTCTCTCCGACAGCTTCAACCAGCATCCAAAATGTGACTGAGGTGAAAACGAACATGAGCCTCGGCTTGACCCTCACAAGGAATATGGGAACCGGAGGGTTTCTGGTGAGTGTTTACTCCTCAAATCCTTATCCCTCTTGAGAAAGTTTGTAGTGAGTATCTTCTCTCCATCCTTTCCATCAATTCAAATCTTGAGGTTTAAACACTGGAGCTTACTTCTGGATAGATGATGCCATTTAGATATCTAGTACAAAACGGTGGTACATCAATGTGTGGAATTCTGAGATATTCAACAAAATCATCATCACAAAATGTTTTGAGGAAAAAATGGATCAAAAAGAACACTGATACATTTCCCTTGGAAAGTGTTCTTAGTATTTGCTGTGATAGCATCAAAATCCCAGCTCTCATTTCTGCTTTCTGAAGGAGCATTCAAATTCAGTACTGTTAACTCAGAAATTAGGTTTCAAAACTAGGGTGTTTTTGTTTTTAATCACTTGCTATAATGGTTGGCTAATTTGATATTTATTTAAGGCATGGTACAGTCTTATGTCAGGTTTTACCCTCATTTACTTTCAAAAATGCTATGAAACAGGCTTATAAATCTGTAAAATGGGAGGCCAGTATTTAGCTCAGTGGCACCATGCCTCCTTTGCAAGCACAAGGTCCTGAGTTTATTCCATGGTACCAAATGAAAAAAAGAAAAAAAAATCTGTAAAATGGAATGCTTTAATTAACAAGAGATCTGAGGATGATTAATTATTCACATAACCAAGTAAACCTTCAAGAGAATTAAAGAGTTAATATAAAAAGCTAGAAGAAAATGGAAATTTTCTGAAGAAGAGAAAAAAAATTTGAGTTTAGAATTAGTAGAAGAAATAATATAGGAAAATGTTGAAAAGATTTAACTACATAAAAATATAAAACATCACACACCAAAAAAAAAATTGAAAGGCAAATAAAAATTCAGTTTTATTTGAAATTTTCACTGGCTCACATTAGGATAGCATAACCCTGGTAAAATTGTCTCAAAAAGCATAATTTAACTTTACATTAATTTTATCTGTGCTATTAATATGCTAATTTAAAAGCCTGCTGTAAAAGTGGATTATTCTAAAAATTTTGAACAATGTCATTCTATTTGAAGTTATAGATATCAGTATTCAGGGAACTTTGGTACCATTAAGTAAATTAAATATTGGTTATAATAGGTGTTACATCAGTGCATAAATGAATATTAAATTAGAACTTCATGATTTATGATATTCCAAAATATTTATAATAGGGTTGCTTTCATGCTTTTGCTTGGTTTTCATTTGTTTGAATAAATCATAAGGAGGAACATATTGAGAATTAAGGATTATAAAATGTGCTTCAGAAATTATAGTATGTAAATCCAGATAAAGTCAAATAAAATTGCAAGAGAATTTGAGAGATTAATTTAATAGTCGATGCAGCAAGCAGAAAGGCAGAGAGAGAGAGAAAAGAAGAAAAAGAGAGAAAGAAAGGTAAAATGTTCTTTACATACCTAAAAGGTCAAAATCTTAAGATACTTTTAAGAATTATGTGGAAAAGATGGACAGTCATCACATTTTTTAAACCTTCTTAAGTTCTGGGCTTAAAGCAAGAATGTTTTGGCATTAACAATTGGCATATTCTAATTTCAACTTCTTAATGCTGTTTTCCAGTGCTTATAAAAGAAATCTTCTTGAATATTCCATGAGTTATTTTTCAAGGTGATATAAAAACCTCGGTAATCCCGATGTGGAAATCAGTAACTGGAATCTGTTATTTGGTAAACTAGTCAGAAACATTGATAATGGCTTTTTCCTAGCTGGCAAAACAAGCTTTAGGAGAGAGGAGAGCTATGCCTTGTTCATCGAGCATGAAATACGACCACAGCTGCTTCTAACTATTGAGCTACTACTACCAATTAAACTGGGTCAGATAAATTCCTTTTTCTTTTTCCAGTTGCTTCTTGCAAGTTCACACTTTTCTGTTCAATTTTAATAATTGGTCTTTACATAAGATCAATGCTTGAATAATGTTTTGCATATGATCCACATCTTTAGATAATGTAAAACTTTGTGGACAATGTTTAGACTTCTCTTTCCCACTTCTTTTCTTTTTTAAAAAATTTAGTGATGGTCATATTATTTAATCTAATATTTCCCATATACTTTAATTATGATTGAATCAAAAGTTCCTGGCATTCAGTCAAGAGCTACTGAAAAGGAGAGAATTAGACTTGTTAAAGTAAGAATTGGAGTATGGAGGATGGGGACAAGGAGACAAATGCCAGACAATTTTGGTGGTGAATAAATTAGGAAATGAAAATAAGATCTTTTTGAGTTAAAGAAAACACTTTATAGCAAAGTTAAAAACTGGCAGTGCTTGAACATCATTTGTGTTTGGATAGCTTATAGAGTTGGGGTTTGTTTTGGGTTTTTTTTGTTTTGTTTTTTGTGAGACCAGGTCTTGCTATGTAGTTCAGGCTGTCCTTGAACTCTATGTAGCCCGGGGTGGTCTTGAACTCACAGCAATCCTCCTGCCTCAGCCTCCCAAGTCCCCCTGGGATTAGAGACATGCACCATCACAACCAGCTAGAGTGTTTTGAAATGCAGAATTTCACACAAAATTTTCCCTCTATGATGACTAAGAAACTTGGGCATCTATTTCACAGCAGTGTGTAGGCAGGGACACAGTTCCTTGTCCCTATACAAAAGACACTGGTTCTTCATTCACCATGGTGTCTATACAGGTCTCAAACACTCTTGGAGGGTTTTTGTCTGGCCCTTGCAGGCACTTGGGTTTATGGTTCTTCTGAGTATAATGAGAAGGGGGAGCAGGAGGAAACTGATGTTAAAACAAAAACAATAATGAGGCTGGCTGACAGGTACATAGGACTTGCTATTTCCCCTACACCGTTCTAAGTGTTTTGTATCTATAGGCCATATACTCTCTATATGGGAGATTTTTATGACTAACTTCATTTTTTAAGAGAAGCACTTGAGACCTAAATAACTGAGACAAAAAAGTCACCTTTTCACTCCATTTCCTCCTGGGTGTCCTCTGGAGGAAAACAGCCCTTATCTGGCTTGGTGAGTGAACCCATGGGCTCCTCACTCCTCTGACCCCACCCCTAATGGTGCCGTTTCCTCTATGCCTGCTACAAGGCCTGCCACTGGGCCTAGGGGATCTGCCCACTACGTCTTCTCCATCATGTCTACCCTCTGCTGTGTACTCTCCCTTAAAGGCATTTAAAGGTTGTCAGAGTTGACAATTCCTAGTATCTTGGAAAAGAACAGAAATGATTCTTGGGTTCCAAGAAAGGAAACATATCCAGTGTGTTTTCATTTACCTTTTCTTGTTTCTTCAAAGACATGTGGTCCTCTGTGGGCACAGCAGTGTGGCAGTCAGTATTACACAACTGGTGTTTGCTCTGATGTCAGTCCTGATTTTCAGCACTTGGCCAGCTTTGCACCTGCAATTCAGAGTAAGTTGTGAATGTGTGGAAGGTTGAAACAACAACACCTTGCATTTAAATGGTGTGTGTGTGGTGGTGGTGAGGTATCAACAATTCCAACCCAACCTCTCTGCAAACCACATTTTCATATGGGTGTGAAATTTGACTTACCCATAAAATATGTTTTTTTCATCTTTTCCTATGTAGCCTGCCCTTCCTTTGTAGATGTTGTGGTTGTGTGTGATGAATCAAACAGTATTTATCCTTGGGATGCAGTAAAGAACTTTCTGGAAAAATTCGTACAAGGTCTGGATATAGGCCCAAGAAAGACACAGGTATGGATATGAGTAGTGTATAAAATAGCCTATAGCTTTCTTTCTGAGAAAATATTAGAAATGAAATTATAATTTTTCCACTTGCCAAATCCCTATATTAAATACATTTAACGGTAACATTCAAAGTTAATTGAGACTTGTACTACTATCAGTTATTATTCTGCCTATGACTTTGCTGTTGACCTTAGAGTTTTGTTTTTGAAACAGGGTTAGGGTATGGGCCTATCACATTTTAATACTTTTATAGTTGCCTATTTTGAGCCTTCTAAGCCATGAGTTTATTAATACATTTTAAAATTGGATATGTATTTTTTATGTCCACATGGACTAGTAATAAATTTATTTTGTTTACACTTTATGGACAGAACAATTATCTTTGAATTCTGAGAATTAAGTTCTCCTTCCCTTTTTGACAAAGAAAGTTTGGGGCTGTGTCATAGAGTTTACTGTACCGCTATCTTCTCTCACATTAGACACTGAAATCCTCAGAGTTATTTTGGATCCTTCTCTCTGGCTCAAGTCTTACATACTGTGGTAAAGAAAAGGGTCCAGGTGTATTTTATTTCTTACCATCTTCCTAGTGCCTTGTATATTGCCTCCCAGTTACAGTAGCAGAATGAACTCAAAAGTCTAGCCCTTTCATCTTCTACCTTCCTTTCATGCTGGCCTCAGAGAGTCTTAAGGTCTTTGAGAAAACCTTTTACTCTTCATCCCCTCTTGCTACTTCCTGTTCAGAAAACCTCATCTCCTATACGTGGAGAATGAGTTCAGTGCCTGAGAACAAGGACATTTGTGGAAGGTTCTGACCTTCTTGATCTAAATGATTAGAAAATATCCCCAGATGTTTTGTTCAGAAGTTTTTCTTTCAGCCATCTCAAATAAGATTCTCTCTAATGGTAGTATTTTTTTTCTGAAAGATTGAAATTCGTGACCCCACATGCAGGTCCACCAACTTCCCTGCAGAGATACTGAAGCCTACAATAGAGGAAATCTAGAATAATAGAGAAATCCAAATGGACTCTCTTCCTCAGGAGTACTTGGGCTTTTTTTGTACTCAACTCTGATTCTTTATTGCATAAATACCCTCAGTAGAAGAGATGTTACCCTCCATTTATGCACTTTTGATTTTTATTATATTAGTTCAATAGAAATTATTTATAACTCACTGACAGCTGTTAATAAGATTCTGATCTTTTGAAGGTTGCCTTAATTCAGTATGCCAATGACCCAAGAGTTGTGTATAACCTGAACACTTTTAAAACCAAAGAAGAACTGATTCGAGCAACATCGCAGACATCCCAATTTGGTGGGGACCTCACAAACACTTTCAAAGCAATTCAATTTGCAAGGTAAGTTTTGATGTTAAAGGCCAACATTTTGATGCCATGCATGTGCTAACATGAGAAAAGAAAGAAAAAAACAAAAAGAAAAATAATATACCTGGAAGCCATACTTAAATCAGAACTAATAAAGAAGACATGTCTGAGCATTGACTTGAATACTTTGAGAAAGCACTTCAGAAATGAACTGAGAAATTTTTGACTCTTGGATTTTTATGAAATGTGACATGGTTTTCATTATTTTATTTGAGTTAAATGAGATCTTAGATTAAAATGTTAAGAAATGAAGAAATCTGCCCTTTAATATTTGTTAAAATGTCACAAATTAAGCCATTAATGCTCAAATTAAGCCAATGAGCATTAATGCAAATTATCAAGAGCCATAAAATTTTAAACATAATTTCTTGGATTGAACTGAGTAAGTTTTTCTTACTTATCACAATCTGTGATACATAACATTGTCCCCATTCTTATCTCAGTCTCTCATTTTTTTCTTTCTTACTTTCTCTATTTTTTTATCTCCATCTTTACTTTATGTAACCAGATACCTTTATAAAAATTCAGCACTCTTCAACTGTTAAAAAAAACTGAGAACAATATACTTGTCTTCTTTTGAAACCTGCTTTGTGCCTTTTTCATGTTGTGAATAGCTTCTTTCCAATACCATAATTGCTTGAAAAAAGTATCTATAATCCCTCCATTTATTCCTTAGAAACCTATAGCTCTCCCACTAGGTGAGCATGACCTGTGGATCTTCCTAGCCCAGTAGTCATGCTTTAAGGCTCATCCTTTAGCTCCTCTGAACATTTGATAAAGATGAACAAACATTGCTCTTCTGAACGCAGTTGTCATACAACAAACTTCTGGGATCCTTGACAACTTTCTGTCAGCGACTTTTATCTCTTCATGAGCCCTTTCTCCTAGTTTTTCTCCTTTGAACAGAGGCTTCTTTTCCTCATAATTCTTCCCTGTCTTAGGAACTGTATCCCATCCCCTGACATCAGCATCAGTTCTGTGTGGGTCACCCCATTACTATGTTGTAAGCCCTGAACTCTCTGCCAACAGTCACACATGCATCTGGCTAATGCTGGATATTTGTATTTGGAGTGTTGGCTCACTTATCAAATTCAGCATGTCCTAATATGGCCTTATTCCTTTCCCTGCCACTCCTCATGACTTTGTCATTTTGGTTCATGCCACTGCCCACTCTCCCAGTCATTCAGACAAAATGACTCTATTTTTCCCACTATTTTCTTTATTTTTTCCATTTCTCTCTAGATCACAAATCTGCTCAGACATCATACCCTGCCATATCTTTTCCTGCATTTCCCAATACATCTCTCTTTTCTTTTTCCATGTATGTTTTAGTTGCTGCTTCTAGCAACTGATGACTCTTTATACTCTTCTTATGATTCCCTATAAGAGAAGATAGAACTGGTTTAATCATTCTTGTTTCTATTAAGTTGAAATTTTGGGCCAAGTTGCTGGATAACCTGCTCATGTTCAGTATGTCAGCTATCATTAGGCTAAGTGTCCTTTCAAGGGGACTTCATTAGGATTAGAAACAGCTGAGGGTCCCTGTTTTCAGCAGGGTGTATGGGTGTGACATTTGCCATTAGAAGTAGCCAGGAGCCTGGCAAGCCTTTCTCTCCAAGATAATGGTCACTGTCTATGGAGAAAGAACTAGTCTGGCTTTCATCATCTTTTCAAAACTTTGATTTTCTCCTTGGACCACCACTTTTTCTCAAGCTAACATGATTTAGTCCCCTATTGCTAGAAGAGTCATCTAACATCTTACTCTGTTCTCCTTTTCTCTCTCTCCTTCCCTCCCTCCCTCCATCTCCTTAAAATACTCAATACATTTCTGACACTTCGAGTAAATATTGTCATGTTTTCATTCACCTTACTTCTGAATGCTTAAAGTTGCAATTTATTGCTCCAAGATCTGCAGGGAATCAGAATTAAATGAGGTACTGTTTTAGTCCTCAAAACCTTATAAACATACTTGAAATCTACAATACTCAAAAAGGATTTGATGAGTATTGTAATTCTAATATGTGTGGCTGCAAGCTATGGAAAAGTTTACTACACTTATATTTTTACAAGGAAAGTACATAGATATTTCAGGAAATAAGTTTTAACTACATTGACCTAGCATGCTCTTGACATATTCAGGTAAAAATATCTAGCAAGCATTGAATATGTAAATTTGAAGATGAAAGAGATGAACAGAAAATATATAGATGTTAAAGTATCATATAGGTGGTAGTTTTTCCAAAATAGTAGGTGACATTACCCAGAAAGAATGTGTAACAGGATAGTCCAGTAGACAGAGGGAAAATAAATTGTTGGAGAACTGGCCAGGTATCTAGAAACCAAATCAAGCTGAAAACTACTCTTCTCATCAAAATGGATTTCAACTGGACCAAAATTTTAAATCTAAGAAAATCAAACCATTAAGCATTTATGAAACTTGTGACTTTAACATAAAATGTTTGGATATAAGTCTGTAAAATATCATGTCAAGAATAAAAGAGACAAAGAACAAGATTAATGACTTTGATTACATGAACACAAAAAATTTCTGTATAGTGAAATCCAAAGACAATCAATGAACTGAGAAAAATTTTATATTATTTCTCAATTAATCACAGTGCCAAAGTTTAAAAATTTTAATAATCTTCATTGTCAGGGAACCAGTAATTACATAATTACTATTACAAAAATGGTAATATAAATTGACAGAGATGTCAGACAGACAATTTATGTTATCTACTAGAATTTGAAATGTGTATATAAACTCTACCCTAATAATTTTCACTAAGAGTTTATCCCACTGATACATTTGAAAAAGTATGAAAAAATTCATACACAGGAATATTTTTATAGCATTGCTTGTAAATGTCAAAATAGCCTAAACTTCCAATAATGAAGAATGAGTTAAATAACTGGTGCTGCCAAATAATGAAATATTATGTAGACATTAAAAAAGAATAGGGGCTTTATATATGTTGAAACTTTCCATAAGAATAAAAAAAGCTACCTGTATTTAAAATATGCCCTTATTTGTATAAAACCTTAAGAGGCAGACTATGTGTATACCCATACTATAAATAAAACATTTTCTAGGGGGAAGCATAAGAAACCGAGACTAGTGATTACCTATGAGGGAGGGGCTTAGTGTCAAATTTTTGTTTATGCCTTTTGAAATAGTTTACAATTTTTTTGATCATATAGCTCTACCATTTTTTAAAAAAGTAATTGTGTTGGAAAAGTAAACACATGTTCAATGATTTACATTTATGACAATAGTGTCTTTGCTCTGTTGACTAATATTAATGAATTTAATCTTCTTACAGAAAATTTTTCTAAGGAATTCTGGGGTAAACTCACACACACGTGCCATGAAAGTATTTTTTAGTTTCAAGCAAGACTTTTATTTTTATTTGTAGCTTGTTATTCTACAAGCTACAAATACAGTAGAGTGCTCTTAACACGAATATCAAAATAACTCTAATTCTAACTCATGATAGGTTGGGCTTAAAGAAGCTAGTTTCTCATTTCTATTTCAAACATATTAACTTCATCTATTGATGGTGAGTCTTCTATCTGCCACAGAACTTCCGCTTATTCAGCAGCTTCTGGTGGTCGACCAGGGGCTACCAAAGTAATGGTAGTTGTAACTGATGGAGAATCACATGATGGCTCAATGTTGAAATCTGTGATTGAGCAATGCAACAGCGACAATATACTGAGGTTTGGCATAGCAGTAAGTGGCTTTTCTTTGTACTTGTTTTGTGGTTGCTGGGTATATGTTCCTAGATGGCATCAATTTTCAAGCCTGCACTTTCTCACTGACTGTTGGTTTATTATAAAAAGTTTTTACTGACTCTACTTCATGCTGATTTCAGTTCTGTCAACTAAATAAATGGTTGTAGGAATGTTGCTTGATTGGCTTCTCCAGAGGGTCTATGATGTTTAGAAATAGACTAGAATATGCTAATAGGAAAATGTAGTACAAAGAAACTTTTCTCCTCTTCCATTATTTTCTAGGTTCTTGGATACTTAAACAGAAATGCGCTTGACACTAAAAATTTAATAAAAGAAATCAAAGCAATTGCTAGTATTCCCACAGAAAGATTCTTTTTCAATGTATCTGATGAAGCAGCTCTACTAGAAAAAGCTGGGACACTGGGAGAACATATTTTCAGCATCGAAGGTAAAAGAATGCCTTTCAGGAATTTCCTTCCAAAAAAATTTTTAAGTGTTTGTTATTTTATTATCACATCTTAGTTCTATTAATGTTAACTTGTGTACCTTGTATAAAAGCAACTCCTACAGATCAGTGAGAAAAAATAGACAAAGTAATTTATAAAAGATAAAATACAAATGCCCAGTAAACATAAGAAACTATTCCCAATTTCAGATTTTTAAAGATATAACTTCAACTACTATTATGTTTTGTCTAGAACATGGTACAGTTTAATAATATTAATTTTAGAACGATTACTTAGAAGCAAACAAGTTTATACACAGTTGGTAAGACGATAAATTGTTATAAGTTTTGGGGGACAATTTAGCAATATCATAATCATAGTTTTATCTATATTATGTTGCATGTTATGTTAAATATCTCTCAGCATAGTCCTCACTATAAATCAATCACCTACTTCCTCTAACTACATCTGAAATATTTGTGTGCTTAGTGGAACCAACATTTGAAAGCTAAAAATTCAGTTAGTTTCTCAGCTAGTAATGATAAATTAAAAATAAAACTGTGATGTTGATATTCACCTTAACCTCATATCCTTCTGAAGTTCTTGAATTTGTTTATAATAAGTATATTAAAATTATAAAAATACAGTAAACATTTTCAGTTATTCAGTTTTGAGGACATATTTATTGGACCTAAAGTAATTTACTTACATGGTTTTGTAAAGTCTAATCAGTGTAGAAATATCATGTATCCAGAAGCTCAGTATATGGAGGATTGGAACATACTTTAAAGTGGGTAAAAAGTCTCACATGACTTAAATTCCGGTTCCAGATGGCAAATAGAGCTGACTCTCAACAATGAAGAAGGGGTTTTATTGAGGACCTACCCATCAAGTACTATTTAGAAGGGGATTGCATAAATTTAAAAAGCTTATTGCTATAGTCAAATCTTGATCTCTTTATCCACTGAAATTTCTGTCCAGTTTTATTACTTCTAAAATATCTACTGATATTTTAAGTTGTTTAAATTCTTATCAAAATCTAATTTTTCCTGAGATAATAAAAAATTATTAATGCTGTTAATACTTGTAGTCCTGTTTGATTACAGGGGCATGAATAGAGCAACTGCGTGTAATCTGAAAGCTAACTAGAAATGATTTTGTACATTATCTGCTAAGACAGACTTTGAGGAGCACTGCTCTCTTTTATTAAAAGTTGCCTCTAAAATAATTACATCTTCTAAACAAGACTATGTCATATAGTACAATTTCTTCTTTATTACAGTGTCAGTCCAGGATTTAGTTTCCTTATTATGAGCACTAATGAAACATAAATTTTGATCATAACCAAACTACATGGAAAATGAATGACTACTAATTGAGTTTTACAGTGTTTACACACAGAGACAAGCCCATATGTAAAACTAGGACAGACTTACCAACTGGTAAAATTTTTACTCACTCTTGAATCTTGGTTCCTTGTGGCTAACCCAAATATCTCTCAGCATAGTCCTCACTATAAATCAATCACCAACCTCCTGTAACTATGTCTGAGATATTTGTGTTATTTAGTAGTACCAACATTTGAAAGCTAAAAATTCAGTTAGTTTCTTAGCTAGTAATGATAAATTAAAAATAAAACTGTGACATCAATATTCACCTTAACCCATACCTTTTTTGGTTGAGAGTTTTTTGGTATTAGAAATTTCATGAGTAGTCCATTAAATACATTAATGTCCAATTAATATTAAAGCTAACTTTGAACACTATCTTGGAAGTTTCGTGGATTTCTATAATCTGTTAGAACATTTTCTTGGTGCTTTTCTCTTCCCAGAATCCTCTGCTGTATATTTTTGGGTGGCTATTAGAACACTGTATGTGTGGGTGTATGTATATGTGTGTAGATGTCTGCCTATGTTTGAAAACTTGAGTTAGAATTACTGATGGTAATATAATTTCTGAATGTGGTATTTCCCAGGTACTGTTCAAGGAGGAGAGAACATCCAGTTGGAAATGTCCCAAGTAGGATTCAGCGCAGATTACTCTCCTCAAAATGTGTGTATATCAGATAATTTCATATTGTCCTTTGGCATGATACTTCCAGATGCAGTAGCTTATACATAAAGTAGGAAAACAGTCACCTAATGACCAACAATTCTGGTTCATAGAACTCACAGCCATTAGGCTTTTTTGTGCTGCTGATTTACCACCTAAATCATTAAGTGTAACAATGATTTCTCTTCCCTATTTCCAAAGAATTTTCTATTGGGAAAAATATAATATATGTGAAATACTTTATGTGCTCCAGGGCACAGGCACAATATTAATTCTCAGTATGATCCCTGCAGGAATTTCCTTTGAATCAATTAACTATTGCAAACATTTGTCAAAAACACAAACTCTTGTCATCTCTGACATTGTTACCTTCTGAGTTGCCCTATTCTCATTTTCTAAGAGAAGAGACAAAATAGTTGAAAAACTAAGGAGTTAGGAAATATGAGATGGAATTGGAGTATGTCACTGTCTTCTTAGCTCTGAGAAGTTCATTCTTCTTTGTCGGAACTATGCCCTTCCAAGCCTCTGATTCTCATTCTCCCCAGGATATGAATGGGGTAGTGGAAAGGGCAAAAAGATGTGAAGTCCTCGGAAATATTTAGGGAACAATATGAACTCAAAGGCAGATCAAAGGACCTAGAACAACTCATTCTCTGTCTAGAATAAAAGGTGCTAAATTTTTCTGGATCAGCAGTCCTGAGAGATCCTCATAAGAGTTGAGTCTTTCCAATAGAAAAAATGTAGACAAATCTATGTGCAGAGCATTTCACATAAAATTCTATGAGGTGTTGTGCATTCCCTAGAATCCATTCATGAACTTTCATTCAGAGTCCGTGGTTTTATTATGCTCATTTGCATAATTTCTTTTTCTCCTAGTCTCAAATTGGAACGCATCATTTCCCTGTTTACTATTTTTAATCTGAAATCATATCGATGTTTTCTAATGTCTAAGATTAAAAACTTAAAAATAACATCCTCCTGGCTCTCCAATACATCTCCTTTGGTGATTTATACATTTGATTATTTCGATCAGGTTTGAGCCCATACAGACAGCCCAGTGTCCTTGACCACTGACCTAGGAAAACCCTGGCCTATTTTCCTTCCAGTAGATTGACTGCCACAGCTAGAAGAGCATTTTGTAGCTGTAGTATTATTAAATAGATGGGATATCAAAATAGGTGCCAGAGGAACATTTGAGAAGGACTCAAGAGAGGAAGTTGAAAATACAGTGGGTCAGAACCAGTCCTGCCAGAGAGCAGCAGCATGCCACTCCCTCCTCTGGGCTCAGCACTTCTATTACTCAATCATGTCTCATATCCACTGTGGTTCTTCCAATGAAATGTGGAACTAGAGGTTTCCCTTATGACTCCTTTCCAGATGTACGAATGTATGAATTTCAATGGAAATTTGAAGATGGCTCTGTAATTACTGCTCATTGTAAAGATTTATCTATATCATATGTCATAGTAAGTATAGCCCAAGATAACAAAGTCAATGGTAGGGCTTGTTTTTCAGTATAAATTTATTAAAACAATTCTGAGATATATCACCATACATTTATATATGTTTTAGTTCATTAATACTTATTTTCCTTAAATACAGACAATTTATTTCATTGTTTTGCTTATTCTTCATTCTCATTCTTCATTCTTAAAGGTGATTTGTCTTAATGATCTTCATTTTTCAACTATTTTAGGATATTCTGATGTTGGGTGCAGTGGGTGCTTTTGACTGGAGTGGGACTGTTGTCCAGGAGACTTCTCATAGACACTCCATCTTTCCTAAAGAAGCCTTTGACCAAATTCTGCAAGATAGAAATCACAGTTCATATTTAGGTAAGGCATAGCAGTGTTTGGCTCAGCAAACATCTCAGGTTCAGCTCAGCAAAACTCTGGACTATCACCTAATGTGCATATTTAGTATTCATTACAAAGTGCCTCTCTGCAATCAAGCTTCTGCCTATAGCTACTTAATGAAGCACTGTGTTTTATATCCAAATCTCAATAGCTGCTCAGTCAGTTGTAATTCCTAGAATATGATGTGTTTCTCCAAAATGGAAATGTTTTTAAAAGTCAGTACACTAACCTGTAGTCTTATATTATTTTAGAGTTGCTAGTACTTTTGTTTTTCTGAGCACCTTTTGTGAGGTAGTTTCTGGGTTGGTTATTCTACCTACATAAACTGAAGTCCTACCACAACTCTTTTATAACCAGAGAGACTACCAACTTGTTGAAAGTTAAACAATCTAGTAAGTAGCAAATTCAGAATTCAAGTCTGAGATTGTGACTTGGAATCCAGGGCTGGCTCTATAGGTGAATTCTGCCTATGCTGGACATTGCTAGAAAAGAAAGGGGAGGAGTAGTTCATTTCAGAAATGGTCAGAACTTTCAGTGGTACACTCAGAAGCACCAGGAACTGAGTATCACACCAAACACAAAAGGACCTCTGATCAGTTCTACTAGCTTTGCAAGCCTTATCTGTCTGAGATAGTCATGTCACTAACTCTGTGACTCTTCCCTTAGGTTACTCTGTGGCTGCAATTTCTACTGAGAAAAGTGTCCGCTTTGTGGCTGGTGCTCCTCGGGCAAATTATACTGGCCAGATTATTCTATACAGTCTTGATGAGCATAACAATGTCACGATTATTCAGACTCACAGAGGGGATCAGGTACGTATCATTGTTTAGCAGGTAAAACTAATGCTGTGGACAACTGAAGCAGGTGGTAAAGTGGGGTGGGTAAAAATGGAAGCTAACATTTATTGAGTGTCACCTCTATGTTTGACTTTCTACCCTGAATTTACGTGTACAAGTATATGTTAAAACTTCCCAACTATACTATTATATCTATCATCCCTTTTTGACAGGTTATTGAAAGTTTAACTTTTTAAAATCACACAGCTCTATTGGAGTTGAACTATCATTACAACCTAATTCTATCTGGCCTCAAATTCTTTGCTGTTTGGTTACACCTCCATCCATATCTTTGACTGCCCAGAGTATAAATTTGTGGTCATTACTTAGTCTTGATGGCAGAGACCTAACCACTGCTTTGTGGGCAAGTCCATGCTAGAAGCCAAGGATCTAGAGGAGAAATAATGAGAAGGGAACAGTATAACATCATCAGAATGAAGTGTCTACATCTGGGCCTATGAATGTATCCTGCTGGCTTTGATATTTGACATTTGTAAAAGTCATACAAGTCTTTTACCTACCACTTTCTGTTTATGTGTGGCCATTTGGCCAGAACTTATATGAATTCCAGTGTGGCCCATTGCAGCAAATGTCATTGTTTAGCTGGTAAAACTAATTTTATTTTTTACCAAATCAATGGTTCCTGTTTCCTTTCTAAGCAGTTCTGACCCAAGGGTTTTGCACCTATTTAAACCAAGCGTCCCCAATCCCTGACAACCAGCAGAAAGTTTTTTCCTTCCTTGAGTCAGAGAAACTAACTGCAGACCTCTGTTCTCTGGGATTACTTCTGATCCTGCTGTTGCTCTGAATTTTCTAGAGTATAACCTGAGGTCTTGACTTCCTCAGTCAAGAACTAGTTATGGTTATGTACTTTTCCCTCCTCTTTAATATTTTAAGAAAGAATGTATTTATTTTGAGAAAAAGCATGGCTGTACTGTGGAAGCAATTGCTTCTTATCAATTTCTAAATCCTTAAGAAGTGTTCACATGGGCACGAATTGAACATTGGTGAATGGAATGAGCATTCATATTCCCAGTCTCTTTCACTGTATCTGCATCTACTCCCACCCGAATCTATCTGGCAATTACTTACTTGTCCCAGCCCATGCCATGGACATATCACTCATTCTTTCCCATTTCTCTTCCTTAAAATGCAATTGAAATAATACTTTATCTTTCTGAGCGTCCTGACTCTCCTCTACTCTGATCACTCAGCATTAGGGGTTTGCTGGATTCAGTATGCTTTACCCCACAGAAACACAGTGATTTGTTTCCCCTGACTCTGCTTCTCCTGCCTTTCTCTACAAGAGGCCTCACATTAAAGGTTTCCCTTATGAATGTGGTCTTTGGCCCACCACCCTCAGAAATACCTTGAGTGCTTATTTTAAAAATGCCATTTTTGTATACTGAATGAGTTGACAAAAATTTAGTATTATATGTATATAAATCTCAGGAATCATAAGGTTAATATACTTTACTTCTTCAGATTGGCTCCTATTTTGGTAGTGTGCTGTGTTCAGTTGATGTGGATAAAGACGCTGTTACAGATGTGCTCTTGGTAGGTGCACCAACATACATGAATGACCTCAAGAAAGAGGAAGGAAGAGTCTACTTGTTTACTATTGCAAAGGTAAAAAACAAAAAATTAAATTGACAGTTTAATATGCTTTTATACTGATAAATAAATTAATTTGCATTTGAGAGAATTAATTTGAATAATTAATTTGCATGTTTAATACAGTTTCTATTTCATCAGTTTGAGAAAGTCACCATTTAGTTCTGATTTTAAAAATCACAGCAAAAGTCATAATGCAAGTTTAATATATACTGTATTACTATTTCCATGAGAGGTTTCTGAATATACATTCTTTTATATAAATAAAATCATTATAAATACACATCATTTTTTGAGATTACACATATATGTACATATAAGCCTTGCGTATTTTCCAAGTATCACAGTTTTAAAAAGATAATAATTTCAGATGCTTTTTACATTAGTTTGTCATGAAATTCTATTATTTAATATAACCAGGTATATATCCAACTCTTGGAATTTCAAAACTTAGCCCACCCTATCAAAGAAAACTATGATTTTTCCAACTTGTAGGCTAAACTTTCTAAATCTATGTAGATAAGTATAATGAACACAATGAAACCAGAAAACCTAATTAAAGGCACAGATTGAAATAGAACACTAGATAACTATGGAGGGAAAAAGAAAGAGTGAAGGTAATATATAGTAAAAATTCCTGTCATTTGCTTCTGATATTTTGTCATATTGTGTTTATTTAAATTAATTGAAAATTAACCTTTTAATAGAAGAAATTGAAACAGTTCTAATTATATGTATAAACAATATTTAATTGCATAAGAGAAGGGCATATCTAATTATTTAAAAACTTAATAAATCTCTAGTTTCTTAGATATTTCTTGCAGGTAAAATATTTCAAGCTGTCATTAGTTAAAGATGAAAATACCCCTTAATGCCCTATCAAAATCAAGACCAAATTCATGAAATTGTAATAGAAGAGAAAGAGTCAACACTGAACCAGTTTCATTGTTGAGAGCATGGCTTTCCTGTAAAGTCAAGAAATATTTCCAGACTGATTACAAAGTCTGAAGGAAAAACTGTGTATTTTACCAAGAAATATCTTTTCCTTTGGACAGAATTATTTAGTGTTTATTGTAATGAATTTTTTTTTCTTTTGGTACTATGGATCGAACTTGGGACCTTGCACTTGCAAGGCAGGCGGCAGAACCACTGAGCTAAATCCCTGGCCCTTAATGGAATGTTAACAATCTCACTTTCCACTTCTTATTCCATTATAATTATTCCTCTGCCAGTAATTTTTAAGTAAAATAGAAATTATCATATTTCATTTTAGTGTGTGTGCCTAACTTAATTTCATTTACGATACCACATTTTTATCAGAGAATTTTTAAATCAAGGTTTGGAAACAAGTGAAGATACTAGGGAAAATGGAAATAAAGGAGTGGATGCTTTTATGTAAGTTGTTCTGGTATTGAAAAGGAAATTACCTCTTTTACCTTGGTTTATGAGCAGATTTCCTGTGGCCTTACTCATTTAAATTCATATTTATAATTCTTATTATGAATGGAGGAGTTTGAATTCTATGTGTAAAACTGTCAATTTTAAACATTTTGAAAATAATTTGGCTATCAATTGTTCTGAATTTTTCTACAAGCTAAAAAGTTTGCCTTAATTATCCTTTTTTTCCCCCCTTTGCAAGGGCATTTTGAATCAGCATCAATTTCTTGAAGGCCCTGAGGGCATTGAAAACACTCGCTTTGGCTCAGCGATAGCAGCTCTTTCAGACATCAATATGGATGGCTATAATGATGTGATCGTGGGCTCACCTTTAGAAAACCAGAATTCCGGAGCTGTGTACATTTACAATGGTGATCAGGATACCATTCGCACAAAGTATTCCCAGGTAATTGATGAGCTACACAATAATATATTTACATGTGAATATCATCATGCTCAAACTCGAGAGTATCATGTATATCATAGAATCTATCCCACTAATTTTATAAACTTCACTCATTCACTCAGGAAATATGTAATGAGTCTTTACTATGTTCCAAGAACTGTGGATGCTATGAAGAATAGAAAAGACAGAATTTTGCTCTTCATAGGCCCTATATTCTAAAAGAAGAAACAAAAGGGGGTCGGGGAAGGATAGATAAATAAGATAAAGTGTTCCACATAGTAATAAATGCTAAGGAATAAAAACAACAAAATAAAGCTAGGATAGGGAGTAACATTTCAAGGATGAGTGGTATCATCAGGTGTTTGATTGACTAAGAAAACCTCGCTGAGTAGACCTGAAGAAAGACAGGATAGCAGCGGAACTTGGGCTGGCATTACCTCCTTCCCATCCACTCACCTTTTCACTATTTTGTGCTGGTTATAATTTTGAATTAAATATTCATGCTATTTTTCTGATGAAAACATGGCTGCAAAAGTGATACAGAGATCAGATAAGATGTGATTTTTCAAAAATCAATGGAATTTTTTGGAGGATAAAGTTAACCTGGAAAATGATACATAGAGAATATAATGAAGCAATGTAGAGGTTGGCATTTTTCTAGTTTAGCCACTGGGCACTATAATTTCATGTCAAACTTGCTTTTTCAGAAAATCTTGGGCTCTGATAGAGCCTTTGGGAGTCAGCTCCAGTTCTTTGGGAGATCCTTGGATGGCTACAGAGATTTAAATGGGGATTCCATCACTGATGTGTCCATTGGTGCTTATGGACAAGTGGTTCAACTCTGGTAAGTCAGTGAATGCCAGACACAAACCAGCTAGCTAAAAATGACTAGCTATGCTGCTATTTAAAAATGCCACATACATTATATAAGATCGTAGGGAATTTATGTATCATAGTTTATATAAAAGATGAAATATGTTTTTTTCCTGGGGATAAATACACTATATATAGAGTGAAGAAAAACTTGATTCTAATGTTGATTCAGATGACATATTATATATATATGTATATGTATTAGAATCAAGTTTTTCTTCTCTATGTGAAACAATGCATAGAAAAGACAACCCCTTAAAATGATATCCTGATATTTCTAAATTTTATCTTCTTATAAACATCTTTATCTCACTTTACAACAAGGAAGCTTTATAAAAGTACACTGAAAATACTGAACATTCAAATTACACAAGTAAAATGAAATTTCATATGTGGTTAAAAGGTATATTTTTAAATTATTAGCCATGAACAAGAAGCTATTATTTAGGATTATCTGACTTCTCATTGACCTCTGCAGGAATTGAAGAATGAGGGGGAAAGAAGGGATTCAAAGGCCATGTGATTCAAGGTCAAAAATATATACATGGATTGATGAGGGAATGGAATTAGAACAGTCACTTATTCAATTAAGGGTCCTCATTTGTTAGTTCATCTGTACTAAAAATGTGCTTTAAATGTCCAAATACTTAAAACCAGAAAAATATTATTTATTAATATTTTGTAATTTCTGAGTTTAATGATGCTATTTACAAACCTCAGTCACACTTTTAATGAATAAAATGCATTATTTTTATTGCAGAATGAAACTATTGTATTATGTGGGAAAAATAAAACCCAGGGATAATATTTAAGACTATGAAGAGCAAGAAAATATATTTGCTGAATAAAATTAGTTTAAATCATGTAAGAATAGCATGCCAAGAGTAAATGCAAAATGTGATATAACTATATGGCTTTTTTGTTTTTTAGGTTTTTTTTTTTTTTTTGGTACCGGAGATCAAACTCGGGTCCTTGTGCTTGCGCAGCAGGCGGCAAAACCACTGAGCTAAATCCCCGGCCCTATATGGCTTATTTTTAAATGATTTAATAAAAAATCATACCTCTCAGTAAACATCTTGGTAGGCAACATGTGTGGTAGACTATATATTTATGAAATGACACTCTTTCTTAAAATAGTAATGGCCAAACTTTTCTCTTTGAATTTGAGACTTTTCAAAAAAAAAGTCAAGACTTGTGAAGTTAAATCAATGTACTGAGATGACTGGTCAAGTCAGGCTAACATCGTTTTGTGGGTACATTGCTATATGGTGCTTAGGCTGTCTTTACTGGGTAATACCCTAAGAAAAGTTTTTTAAATAAATGTGCACAATATGTAAATCAATGACATCTCTCTTGGAATAAGTACTCAGTCTCTCAAAAACAGTGTCTTAAAGAAAACATTCACTAAGGCATTTTAGATTTATAAATTTGAGGACATTTTGCATTTGTTATTAAATGCTTTATGACTGCTTATTAAGAGGCCTAGTAGATACATACTAATTATTAAAATAACTTTTCAGTTGACTAGAGTTCTTCAGGTGCTACCTGAATTTAAAATGCAATGTTTTCTGTATCTTCTTGTGGCACTTTTCAAAACAATGAAAGCACTAATTATTATCTGCTCTTTTGTAAATAGTTGAAAGTGCACACAGGGGTTTATGATGATGAAGTACAAATTCCAGTTATGCAGGAATTAAGAGATCATAGGTTCTAATTTTTCAATGGTTAGTACTCAGTAAACTGGTGAGCCACCAAATATCAGTGTCTCGGGCTTTTTCACTGATGAAAAGGAGATAATATGTGTTTTACCTACTTCATGGGAGTGTTAGTTATAAGGAGCAAATGAAGCTATCTATGAGATGGTAAAGGGCTGCCCCAGGGTCAGAAATCTATGGCACCCTCTTGAGCTGGACTCATCAGTGTTTTACTGGCATCAAACTACTTGCCATCCTTATGGCCATAAATCATATTTCAAAGGATTTCTACCAACCACTGAGGCATCAGGGAAAAAGCCGTGACCACCCTCCAGTGCTGTGCCACTTCCACTTTCCCACCTTCCTTCTCCCCTGCCTCTGTGGGAAGACAAAATAATACTGCTTCCACTTGCCAAAACATACTGAAACCATGCCTTGGAACCTCACTTCCAAAGAGACTGCAGATTTCCATCTTGGGCTCCTGGTTATTCAATAAGAGTACTACATGTGGTTTGTGCTGGTGATGCAGTCATAAACATAAAAGACGTTGTTTCTCCTGCCATCTTAGTATTAAAATAGAAAATACTGCCAAAGTGCTCAGATAGAACCTAGAAAGAGAAATATGTTAGTGCTGGTGCTGGGTCCTCTATGTAGTTTTTATGTGTTTTCTCAGTAATAATATCCATGTACCTGTTTTCATTGTCTTTCAGGTCCCAAAGTATTGCTGAGGTGGCTGTAAAAGCTTCATTCAGTCCAGAAAAAATCATTTTATTCAACAAGAATGCTCAGATAGTCCTCCAACTCTGCTTCAGGGCGAAGTTTAGACCTACTAATCAAAACAATCAAGTGGGTGGGTAACCTGAAATAACCTGGACAGAGATAGGCTTGATTATAATTGCAGCCCTGAATGCAACCTATGTCTTGGTTTTGCTTGCGGACACTTAAATTGCTGCACATTTAATGTGCCTAAGAATGGTTCATTAGGCATCCAGTGTTTTTTAGATCATTCTCCCTCATCTCTGAAGGGTGACATTCTGCTGTAGAACATTGTAATCTCTGTGGCATAATCATGGGCTCTCCCACCTGTATCCTTTGAGTTTCTCTTACTCACAGATACCTTAAATTCTCAGCACACATTGCACTGACTTCTCTGAACTGCTGCTGATCTTAAATGAGCATGCCATATATTGCCTGTGGCATGATGTAGGTAAGATGTGTTAAAATATTAAATACTGTTCCTGTTCTTGAGGAACTAGTGAAAATGAAATAATGGCAAACAAGATATAATTCGTGTCCATTATTTTAAATTTTCTAAATAATCCAGAAAAGTGAGTAAAAGCCACAAGTGTATCCCCTGAGACAGGAGAAAGAAAAACACTGTGGGCAAATGTCAGCAAGAATCATCCTATCTCTCCTGGGCTGGTCAAATCATTTTTCATAACCTGGCCAAGGTCTCACATCTTCTTTTTTTAAAATTAAGTTTATTGGTACATTTTAGGTATACATAATGATCGCACTCATCATAGAAAATTTGTACCTGTACATGATATGTCTTGATTCTTTTTTTTCTTCTTTTAAGCTTTATCCAATCACTCTATCTCACCTTCATACCTGTGTCCCAATTATCTGAGCAGTCTCTGTAGGCAGTATGCCACCTTTTCAGAAAGTAGATCAGAAGCTACCTTTTCCCTCCTGTTGTTACTTCATGAGTTCCAAACCCCCTTCCATCAGATTTTGGCTCTAAACTTCAGAACCTGTATTTCCTACAGGTATTTAATTAAGTGGTAAATAAAGTAACTTAAAGACTGAAAATATTCAGGTAGATATGCCATGATTTATATCAAGAAATAAACAAGAACCTTAAGGAGAAGTTAGATTCACATTTGGCATAATTTCCTATTTTCCTCCTTTTTATGTCCATCTCAAAGTTTTCCTTTCAAGTGTTCAAATATTGACCCATGTTGGAATAGTGTACATCACAGACCTGCCTTAGAGCACACATTCATCTGAGTAGATTTGATAGTTAAGTCAAAAAACACTGTTGTATAAACACTAAGTTATTGGTCTGCCTAAAGCATTAAGTTGGAAACTATATTAGTTGGCAGAAATGGCTGACTGCTCAGCTGTCCTGGATCTGAAGCATGAATATGTCTTGTGTATCTTCTATATTTTGACTACATCTTTTCTGTTGCCGCATACTCAAAACTTCTACTTTCAGAGACTTTCCTTTCTACTGACTGGCTGCTAAGTGTCCCTTGGCCTTCTTACCAATGAGTATACCTTTCCTCCTGAGTCCTTTACTCTGATATGATTCACACAGATATGATCATCTGTCACTTTATTTCTTGGCAATAGTATTGTGGTAAGATATGAATTTCATCTTTACAACTGTGAAAAGTGAATCTGTAAAGCATATGGTTTCTGTATATTTATTTATTACATCAGGTACTGTCTTACTTTCTCATTGCTGGGATACAACACCTGACACCCACAATTTAAAGGAGGACAGGTTTCTTTTGGCTCACAGTTTATAAGAGACTTCAGTGTATAGTCAAGTGGTTCCAAGACAGGGCAGCATGGCAAAGGGGCCTGGCAGTGGAGAAGCAGGTCATGGCATGCCTGAGGGAAACAGAGAAAGAGATAAGGGAGGAGGAAAGGAGATGGACCCTTCCAGGACACGCACACACACACACACACACGCACACGCGCGCGCGCGCACCACATACACACACACACACCCCAGTGACCCACCTCCTCCAACCAGGCTTCACTTCCCAACATCACATTTAGCTATAAACTCATTAGTGGCCTGATCTACTGATGGGTACCACACCCCATGATCCAATCACCTCCCAAAAGCCCCATGACAAAGGGGACATCTAGATATAAACCATAAAAGGTACCAACTCCAATTTAAAGTTAATATTAAAAATTCATATGTTGCCTATGACACTATATATCCATTTCACTAAGCTGCTTTTTAAGATATTAAAAAGTATTATGATGTATACTAATTTTGGCCTAACTACAGTCATGTCCCTATCATTATTTTTCCTTTGCATCATTTTCACTGCTTATTTTTAGTTTATTTGGGCTCTTTCAGGTTTCATCCATCTTTATGGCACTTATAAAGTCTGTGGAGCAAGAAAAATTGTATAAATTACATAGTATCTCTAATAGATATTTAAAAACAACATATAACCAATCTTAAAATATTGAAAATAATAAAATATAATAGAGAAACTCAAAGAAGGTAGTTGATGCTAGAATAGCACCAGATTATCATTCAGGACAGGTGGCCTGTTGACTTCAGTTGAAGGTAATAGTTCAAATAGTTTGGACACTGCTACTCTCATCAATTTTTATTTTTAAAAATTTTTATTTCTGTGAGTTGATATTATTTTCTCTGTTTGATAGATGAAGAAACAGAGGTTCAAAGAGGTTAAGTAAATTCCTTAAAGTCACAAAGCTACTGTGGAATTAGGATTCAAACCAAGTCTGACTCAAACCTTCTTGTTGAAATGTTGCATGTCTTTCCCCGTGGAAACATCCAGAATATGCCAAGCACTGTACATGTTTTTTGAAGGGTCTCATTTAATCTTCACAATAATATGTACCCTTACAACAGCATAGAAACAGAAAAAAACATGAACTTTTATTTCAAAGATGCCAAAATTTTATTTCTGACTATGCCCCAGCTGTGTGAATTTAGATGAATTATTTTACTTCTTTTATTCCAGTTCATTATCTGAAAAATAGGATAACAATATCCCCTTTCCACATTTGTTGTAAATCTTGAATAAGATGCCATATGAGGATATCTTCAACTGTATCCCTTCGATAACTGTCTTTTCCTATCTGTATCTCTGTGTGGGTGATGAAGCTAGTCCATAAAGAAGTAATTTGCCAATTTTATGGAATGCATTTCCTTGTGACAACTACAGTTTTCTGTTCCCTGCTCCAAGCCACATGTTTCTGAATCATACTTCTTTAGATCCAGAGTCACCCAAATCATACTAGAGCTAGAACTACAAACACCATATGGGGCTATCCTTGGTTTATAATCTAACAGTAAATTCTATTTCTATATTTTCTTAAAGACAGTGACTTTGTCCAGTAAGATACAATGAAGTAAGAATGCTTTTCCTTTACAAGGTCACTTGTAATAACATTTCTTTATGATTTTTGTTGTAGCCATTATGTATAACATCACACTTGATGCAGATAGATATTCATCTAGAGTAACCTCCAGGGGTTTATTTCAAGAAAATAATGAGCGATGCCTCCAGAAGAATATGGTATTAAATGCAGAAAACAGATGTACTCAGTACAAGATTCATGTACAGGTGAGGCATCAAGGTCTTCTCTTTTCACCCCATTTCTTCTTAAAGAATAATGAATACTGAAAGTCTAAAATGGACACTAAAGGGAAGAAGGGAATAGAAAGTTCTTGCCCTTCTAATTAATGCCTTTCTTGTCTAATTCCATGAAGAGGGAACATATTTCCTTTATGCTAATATTTATAGTCACATAAGTTAGTCTCATTAAATTTTATCAGGGATTTTAACTAAAAGAGCTAAAAATAATATTCTTAAGGAAATTGAAAATCCAGTGCTTTCTTACATGTTTAATAGGATGAATTAATAATAGATTCTATTTTGAGATTTTTCCTATGGAAGAAATTTTTATTCATTTTAAGCTACTGAAAATGGTAATTTCAATTGTTCTACTGTTGGTTTAACATAAAGGAATAATGGTGGATTATGAGGTAAAGATTATTTATTTTAGTCTTATGCCACAATTACCACAGTTCTCAGAGATTCTGAAAATCTCTCACATAGGAAAAAAGCTTCTCAGGTGAAACTTTCCAACAGGAAATTTATTTTATAAGTTTTAGGAAATTTTTCCCCTTAGCAACCACATATAAATATTTGAAAGTGTAATTTAATCAGGAAACTAATTTAAAAAGAAGTGCTTAAGTATTTTCTTAAATACAGTTCTCAGATGCCAAGGTACATAGAAATTGCTAACAAAACATTTATAAAATCTATTTTAGGTTCCCACTACCACAAATTTGGACTTAAAGGAACAAAGAACATGCAGGTTTAAGGGACACTACAGATATTTCTGATGTAGATAGATGGTACAGAGATCACACTTCAAAAACTAGGAGTTGGAAAAATATCAGCTGAATGGTTAGATGAATTAAAACCAGTTATTATTTAATTAAAGGTTTCTTTTGTGTGAAGGACTGGATTTTTGTTATTGTTGTTGTTGTTGTTGTTGTTCAAGTCCCAAATATACAGATTCTTGAAGGAAAAAAGCTAACTTCATTCTCTTCTGTCCTGTGCCCACTGGTGGATCAAATTACACTTGTAATCTATCATGAAGGATTCAAGACAATGTAACTTGTCCTGTAAATTCCTATTAACTATTTGCCATAAATACCAGTTAAGTACACCCAATATGTTAAGCCCACAGCCAGCTGAGGAGGCATTTCTTTGCACCCAGGAAACTTGTAGTCAGCCCTGCCATAGGGGTCAAGATTTAGGAGTAGATCCTGCCACGGAATAGACTCAATGATCAATGAAGATACTACTTCTCAGGAAAAACAGATTCAATTTTTCGAACTTTTTACATTTATACTGTAAACACTATTTTTTCCTAACAAGAACTGACAAGAGGTCTGTAAGATGATTGCTAGATGAATTCTGCAACCCTGTTTTGGCCTTTTTACGCTTTTCATTGGACAAAAAGCCTCAAAAATTGGAAGGGGAAGGGCGGGGGATTTAACTCAGTGGTTCAGCCAGCTGCCTCGCAAGCGCAAGGTCCTGAGTTTGATCCCTGGTACCAAAAAAAAAAACCCTCAAAAAAACAAACAAAAAAATTGGAAGGGGACCATGCTTCCTGGAATTCTGGGAATCCCCTACCCTCTAGACAGACGCAAAGTGAAGAAGTTGCACTTGTGTATGCATAGGGCTGTGTTTATTTGTTGTGAAGTGATATATGCATCAGGTTCATGTGCAATGAAGGAGTAGCGCAACTCAAAATCGTCCATTCTGGGTTGAGGAGGTTCGGGAGCTTGACTTAGGACATAGGAATCACCTTTGTCTGGTTTTGTAGAGCAGAGTCAGGTCCTGACAAGAAAGGGACTATGCTTGTCCCTTACCTGATAGCCAACCCTGAGCACTTTCCCTTCTGGGTCACAATGAGCCCTTCCAGAGGACACCTAAGAACTCTGAAGTCTGGCCGAAGGAGTTGGAAGAACATAGCCAATGCCCCAAGGGCTGGGTACTCGCACAAGTGGTTTTTGAAGACTAAAATTGAACATAGCATCTAAATACTTATAATTACATGTGTATAAATAATGAAATTATTGATGAGCCCCAGTAAGAACCACTGCTTTGGATTTTTACTAGAATCAAGTCTCTTTAGGTTACTTAGCTGTTCAGAGGTTAATAGCAGAATTAGGACAGAAAAAAGAGATCATACAAAACAAGGATAGTCTGAGCAATACTGTGTTCTTAATTATAAACACATTTGTGGTTGTTTCCTTGCTTCCCTTGCTGTGCCTTCACAACAAACTGACTCTGGGTGTGTGCACGTGTGTTTAGAAACCCTCCGATGTTGTCAACTCTTTGGATCTGCGTGTAGACGTCAGTCTGGAAAACCCTGGCACTAGCCCTGCACTTGAAGCCTATTCTGACACTATCAAGGTCTTCAGCGTAAGTGTTTCTTGCCCTTCCTGCATTTAGACTGGCTAACAAAGTCTCATGGTCACTGCAGTAGCATTTCAAGATACTTAAGACATAGGACATAGCCTTAAATGTCTTAATTTTCAAAATGAAATTGTGTGTGAAGTTCACTAACACATTAATTCCATGAAGGCTGAGGCTTTTGTCTTTCTTGGTCACTGCTCTATTTCTAGCCCCAAGACTGAAGAAATAAATTTTTAAAATAAGGTAAACAACTTGTGCTCACCACTTTAAAATATTGCCAGTGCCTATGAAGTTCTGTGTATCACCTCTCCGTCATATCCACTCTAATCCAGCTCCCCTGAAAGAGACAATATTTTGAATTTTGCATTTGTCATTGCTTTTCTTGATGGTTTTGCTAAACACATACATATTCCTAAACATTGGTTTTGCCATTGTTGTGAACTTTATGTAAATGGAATAACAGTATATGCATTCTTCTGTAAAGTGCTTTTTAAACCCAGAAAAAGTATGATCATTTGTCTCCCTTTTTTTTGGTAGATCCCTTTCTACAAAGACTGTGGTGGTGATGGAATTTGCATCTCTGATCTGGTTCTAGGTGTCCAACAGCTACCAGCTACTCAGTACGTTCCACTTTAAAGCTTACTGTGAAATGCAGAAATAAAAGTGACACTAGATTATTTCCTTCAAATGAATGTTTATGGAGATCTTTTTCCTATAAAAGAAATGTTTATAATACTAAAAAAATGTAAAATTAGTGGTATTTATATAATTCTTTACCTTAAAATGTAATTAAAAGCAATGAAGAAGAAAATCCCATAGCATTTACTTATTTTTCAGTACCGTTTTAAAATGAAGATAACTTTTACTATTAAGCAATTTTCTCAATATTCCAAATAGATACAAACAAATTATTTCTTAAATGAATGAGGTTTTTAAAATACTGGTCCTTCTCTTTCTTTCTTTTTACTTTAATGGCTTTTATTTTCTTTTTCTCCTTTTCACTTTTAACAGAGAACAGTCCTTTATTGTCAGCAACCAAAACAAAAGGTTAACATTTTCAGTCACACTGAAAAACAAAGGAGAAAGTGCATACAACACTGCAATTGTTGCTAATTTCTCAGAAAACTTGTTTTTTGCTTCATTCTCCATGCCGGTATGTGACAGCACTCTGAGGATATCACTGTTGTGCTTCCTACTTGCTATCAAGTACTGTATACCTCAAATTCAACCCTCCAGGTCCTGTACGTTGTCTGAAGTGCCTTAACCCTGGCTATGATCAGTCCTAACCTGTGGCTTCCAACTAGTGAAGCCACCTGAGAACACAGTCCAGCTTATGTCTGTACCGATACTCCACAGCTTGGGTCACTTTTTCCTTTACCCTGAGACTTGGCCTCCTAGCCAGACACCCTATACCTCTTCTCCAGCCATCTGTGCAACAAGGCTGCTGTGGTGCAGCACAGATGTTGTGCACTTGCTCTGAGCCATTCAAGTTCCACAGCTCAGACTGAACTTTGCAACCGCAGTTTTTGCTGCTGCCAAGATGATGCGTTCCAGCAAAGTGAGGCAATCAAACTGACCTGATCACTAAACCAGAAATGAACTTGACCACGAGGGCTCTTTGCTCCCCTCCTCAACCCCCAAGCCAGAGAGAGCAGAGAGAGAGACAGAGAGACAGAGAGACACAGAGAGAGACAGACAGACAGAGACAGAGAGAGAGAGAGAGAAAGAGAGAGAGAAAAGGAGGAAAAACCATTTTCCAAGTGAGCTACTTTGTTCAAGGATTAAGTAATTGGTTTCTTTCCATTTAAAGTTAATGTGAGCTCAATAGATTTAGAGTTCTCTTTTTTTTTTTTTTTTTTTGGTACTGGGGATCAAACTCAGGACCTTTCACTTTCGAGGCAGGTGCCAGAACCACTGAGCTAAATCCCTGGCCTTTAACTCTATCTTGACCTTAATGATTAAAATGTCCTGTGCCCAGTGATGACTTCACTTTTTAATGAAAAAAGAACTGAGAAAAACTAAGAAAAAAAAATCAATTTATTTGAAATAAAAAAACCAAAATGATTTTTTTCTTCTCTTGAAAATATGTATTTCAAAAATAGTAAGAAATATATATACTAAAGATTTCTGCACAATGCATTAAAGTTGTTTGTGCTTCTGAAATATGAGAACTATGATTTCCTTTAGGAGAAGAAATCCAATTTTTAGCCACTTCTTTGGCTTGGCAAGTGTATATTTAAAGTTACCCATAAAAACAGTATGTTAGCCACTTGGAGAGTACAAGATTTTCAAAGCTTTGGGGACAGTAAACTAATTCATTGTGAACTAATCTTAATGTACATGTCACTTTACATTTTTCAATGTGTGTGTATATAGACATGTGTTCTATACTAATTGACTATTATTTCCTTGGTCTTGTTCAGATTGATGGAACAGAAGTAACATGCCAGGTTGATTCATCTCAGAAGTCTGTTACCTGTGATGTAGGCTATCCTGCTTTAAAGAGTGAACAACAGGTACAAATTGCATGTCATCCTAAAATCCATGCTAGCCATGCTTCAGCACTCACATTAATTTACCAATATAACACCTTCTAGGTTAGGTGTCACCACTTGATAGCAGTCACAAAATAAACTGCTGCATACTTAAGAGAATGTTTCTTAATAACTAGATTATTTTCTTTGAAATGAATAATAAAGCTCTGCTTTTCTCCATGCAGTTTATGCACAAAAGCACACATGACATGTAAACTTCTTTTTGTCTTAGTATGTTGACCAACATTGGCCACAATGTTTCCACACAGTCACAAAGGTCACCTGTTAATCCTTGCTATATAAGTTTCATATCAGCAAAAAGCTTTACAGTTCAAACAAGGATACATGGCTGGATAACTTCCAGTTGTCAGCTAAAATTTAAGCTTTCTTCCTTTTAAAGGAAGCATACTAGAGTAAGGTAGACAAATAGAGATAGTCTACAAATTTGAAAGCTTAAGGAAAATAAAATTCAGAATCAGGTTAGAGTGAGTTTGCTTTTAGGAAGACTATTTTGTTTTCTTTCCTGGGTATGAAGCATCATAGATTGATGAATTTTAACTTCGTATATAGGTGACTTTCACTCTTAACTTTGACTTCAATCTTCAAAACCTTCAGAATCAGGCATCTTTCAGCTTCCGAGCATTCAGGTAAGACTTAATGAAGTCAGTAATGGTGATCAGTGGCTTTTATAATATTTCACTTTAAGTAATTTCCTAATATTTGTTTCAATAGTGAAAGTGAGGAGGCAAACAAGGCAGACAATTCAGTCAACCTCAAAATTCCTCTACTCTATGATGCTGAAATTCACTTAACCAGGTAAGTGAAGCCCATTTTAGATGGGTAGCCTATTACTACTGACACCACACTGGTTTATAGCACATTCAGTCTTAACTAAAGAATATGTCTTCCCCTTGCCAACTTAAACAGAAATCCACAGACAGATCAGTGCCTAGGAGAACCTTGAGTGATTCTTTAGGTTTGTTAACTAAAAGCAGCATTGAAAGGCAAAGGAAAAATACTTTTCCACTGATCATAGGGGAACTCCCTTTCAGGCCCTAGGAAGGGCTGCAAACCTTCCCAGGAAGCTGAAACACACTCAAGGCCCTACCAGCTGTTAGCATTATCTTCTAACTTCCTACTGGGCACATGAGATGCCAAGCAATATTTCCATCTCTGGAAATGAAGTCCCCAGCACCCTGCTTTGCACATGGGAAGTCTGCAGTTAATATTGAATAGAGCCACACATTGCACAGTCAGATACAGAAAGTTGGTCAGGTCTAGCTTCTGAGTGGAAAATCTCTGACATAACAGGTTAGAGTTTTCTTCCAACCAGGAGGAAATGTGGGATTTTCCAGAGGAAGTCATGCACGAAGAACTGCTTTATTCCTTTTTCTTGCCTTACCAAAGCAAGTAAACCTGAGAGCAGCAGTTGAAATGTAATACAAGTATATACCAGCTGCTTTGAATTGTTCCCAGGAACAAGTGTCTTGGGAATTGGGTAGCATACAAATCCCACAGGTGCTAATAGGTTAGTAGCAGTTTAATCCTCAGAAGTGAGGCTGGTTCATGCCACGGTCACAGTAGGGCACAGCTCAGCAGGTGCACAGGCCACCGCACATGCCCACCTCCAAGCACCCAGACTGCTTCCCCGTGCGGATGAATGGCACAGAAAAACGTGCAGTCCTGTTTTCTCAAGAAGCCCAATGACAGCTAGCTTCTCTCACTCCTTCTTCATTATCCCAACCCCTAAAAGCATGGCTTATGTAGATCATCCAATAAATCACTAAGCAAAAACAAAAAGAAAACTATGTCATCCTGTCCAGGGCTTGAGATACATGAGCAAAGAAGAAAAGAATGTTTCTGTGTCAAGTGAGTGGCAAATGCTCAAGTGGAAACAAAGTCCAGCCCAAGTCATCCATCCCTGAAAAATTAATCAGTAACTGCAGATTTCAAAGGACTCTCACTTCCTAAGAATTGAAAATGACTGCAGGCACAAAGATAGGAATTACTGCACTACCTAAATATTTTCCTTTTCACCTATATTAATTCTCTCTCCTAAATTCTTAACACGGCCTTTTTGTCATTCCACTCTGCCATCATGGCCAATTTTTTCCCAGAAGTTATAACATGAAATAAACAGAAAATCGAAATGGGACTTCACTTTTACTTACTTACATGGTAGCTGTGATTTTGTGATGGTAATTTGGATTCCAATACACACCAGTGCTTTTTAAAAGCATATATTTAAAAGTTTAATATAGAGAATTATGAAGGAAAAGCTGAAATGGCTCCTCATCCTACACTTGAATAATTTTCCAGATTTTTTTTCTTTAAAAGAAAAGCATTAAATGTACACCATAGGTAGAAAATTCAGACATTATTACAAGATGCACAATGAAAAGTAAAATCAACTCTTCCCTCTTCCCTGGTGATACTCCCTATAAGTGATGAATGTGACAATTTAGGAATATTTTCTCAGACCTATGGTTGATCTAACTAAGAGATATCTATATATAGATATAATATATATAACATATATGTATATTATATCCATATATTATATCCATATATAGGTATATATATGGAACATACACATATATGCTTGCACACAATTGTGCGCCAACATTTTGTTTGCCCAAGAGGAGCAATGAAAATACTCTTCTGTATTTTGCTTTTTATGTAATCTTAGAGAAATGTTCATATCAAGCCAAACATATCCAGCTTATTCTATTCCTGGCTGTTTTATAATTTATTTGGCCACTCTGATATTAATATGTTGTTTTTCATTTTCATTTTGTTTGTTTAGCCATCACAAGCAATAGTGCAAAACTATTTTTTTAACAAACATTTTTTTAAACTTTTAAGCAAAAGCCCTACCCAATGACTGAGCATATCCGTTAGCTACCGCTTTGATACTATATAAATTTGCACCTATATTGTATGAATGTGATGGTGGAAATAGTGATGGTAGAATTATTTTTGTAACAGGGTTCCCTCTGAATACAGCTAGCTACTGCCACTCCCATACATATATTAAACACACCTCAATGTTACTTAAGTAACTTAGGGAAAACTTACGTAATGAATGGAAAATCATCAGACCTCTTTATAATGCAAAAAGCAGAAAATTATCCGTTTAGAAATTGGCCCTGCTTAGGGGCCAACACAAACACATTCTGTAAGGCAAAGAGAATAATCCATGCACACGTCTCCAGAATGTCTGTTTCAAATCCTAGTCAGTTTTCCCAATAAATTGTCTGTAAAGAATAAATGGATAGGATATGCATAGTAACTTGTTAGACTCCTTCTGCTGCTACCTGCTCCTCCACACCCCTAACCCCAAAGAAGCTGCCCTGGTTGCAATGCAGCCTGAGAGCCCCCCAAATGAGTGAAAAAGTGGGAGATGTCCAGTTTCATTCCAATCTGAGTGGTCCTAGGGCAATTCCTTAAATAGAGACATCACTGTGTGCACATATATTAGCTGGCAATCCGAAGCAAAGAGGTCAAGATCAGTTCGATGCCTTTAGGTCTAGTCTAATAAAATTTGTGGGTCATCCATTTTAAAGGTGGCTCCACTAGTGGTAGAAACAAATTTGAATAGCTCAAATTCAGAGCCAAAGCACTAGAGTTGGTTTGGAACTAGAAATGACTAGGAAAAAGGATTAATAAAATAAACATGTCCTGTTTCACAGGCATCTAGTAATGAATAATGTAGGAGCTAATACCTAATACCACATCATTGTATTTCACCTGTAGCAAGTGGGAAAGCACTGGCTTACAAATCCTTATGTATGAGTGTCCACTATATTAAAGTATCAGTTAATGTAGCAATCCTGGGAACAGTTCCACTATCAGTTCTAAAGTAATACTTTTGTGCTTATTTTAGAAATTTGACAACTTACAAACATATAACACATAGAATCTCAGCAGAAAGGCCAGAAAGGGATATGTCTTGAATTTATTTTAGTTTTAAAAATATACACTGGACTGTAAAACCATAAAAAGCCTTTGGTTTCATCCAGTGCTTTTTAAGATTTTTCACAATTGTAACTTTAATAGTACCTACATATACATGGCTTTCAGAGTGATAATTCAGTACATGTATACAATGTATTATAAAATCAGGGGTACCTGGCATTTTCATCTACTTAATTTTTAAAATTTAATTGGCAAAAAATAATTAGACATAGATACGGGATATAATATATTTCAGAGCATATATACAGTTTCAATACATGTATACATTATGGATACTGACCAAATCAGGGTACTTTGCATTTCTTTGTCCCTATCATAACTTTATCTTTGGAGATTTTAAACTCCTGTCTTCTAATTATTCACAAAATATGTAATATGTGATTGTGAACTGTAGTCACCTCCCTATGCTAAAAAGCATTAGAATTTACTACTTCTAACTAATTGTGTTTTATTATCCTTTATGCAGCCTCCTCCAATCCTCCCTCCCCATCATCCTTCCCAGCCTCTGATCAGACACAAAAAGACAATAGCTCATGTTCTTCTCTCTCATATGAGGAAATGAAAAATGTCAATCTTAATGTAGGATAGTCATTCGGTGCTTTTCTAACTAAAAGTAAACTGTTTTACTTGTAATAAAAGCTAGAAAATACTTAACTAAAATAAATACTAAACTTCAAAAACAACAGCAAAACTAAAAACATTGACTTTACAAATACCCAACAGATCCACCAACATAAATTTTTACGAAGTTTCCTTGGATGAGAATGTTCCTTCTATCGTGCACAATTTTGAAGATATTGGTCCAAAATTCATCTTCTCTCTTAAGGTTGGTAAGTCTGTCGTAAGGATGGCAAACTAGGATGAAGGGAAACAAAAAAAAAAAATGAGAATGAGAAGAGAAGAAGAAAATGAAATGAAGTCAAAATATACCAGTGGTTCATAAACTTGAGCAAGCATTGAAATCATTGGGAGGGCTTGTTAAAACACAGATGCTAGGCTTCATCCCTGGAGTGATTCAGTGGGTCTGGGATGGGCCTAAAAATGTGTATTTCTGAAAAGTTTCCACATGGTGCTCATGCTGCTAGCCCAGGTGCTATATTTTGAGAACCAGTGGGATACATCACAGATAAGTAAACAACAGGGCTTGGAACTTAGTTCTGTGTCCTAAAATAAGTAATGTTGAAAAAAAAGTATATATATATATATATATATATAAAATATAAAATAATTATATATTATATATAATAATATAAAACATTATAATATATAATATATAATGTTTTATATAATAATATACTATAATATGGGGGTTGAATCCAAGGCCTTGCACATGCTAGGCAATCACTCAGCCAACTGAGTTGCACTCCAGTCCCAGTATCTAAAAATATTTTTGAGTCAAATTCTAATGTTCGTGAGTAATTGTTAATCTAAAAACAGTAACCATTTATGTAAAGAGAAATTTAGTTGTAGAAAATGGCTATTTCATAGTATAATAATATTACATTAACTTTAGAAAGTAAAAAAGAATTCATCCATCACCCTGAGTCAAAACCATTTTTTAAAATCCATTTCCTACTAGTCTGTTTCCTGGCTACAACCTGCACTTTAGAGATTTTTAAAAATATAAAAGAATCTTAATTTGTTTTCCAGACACTGGAATTTATAAAATATGCATGGTATTCAGTAGCCATGTTCTTTAGTAAGACACTTAATCAATTTATAGTAAAAATAAAATAACATTTATAGAGTATGTAATAAGTATCAGCCATTGTATCAAGTGCTTTTACGCTGTTTAATTGCTAGGCCGGTTATGAGGATGGAGTTATTATTATTCCTTGGGTTGTTGTTTAAAAAATTTAATAGCCTGTAGGTCATAAGCACTGGCCACTTGGAACAAAAACCCAACCAATGAGGACAGATAGTGTACCAGCACAAACCTACTGAATTTCTGATTATCTTTATTGTACAAATGAGAAAATGAAAACAGAGAGAGATTAAGTTCTTTCACAACCCACACCTCTGACCAGTTGTACTTTATAGTTGTCTCTCATCAGCACAGGGGTTACTGGTCATTTTCCTTGCATCACACACACAACATAGTGATTCTAGAACATTTTCTTCTCAACACAGGTAACAACAGGACTTGTTCCAGTAAGCATGGCATCTGTAATCATCCGCATCCCTCAGTACACCAAAGAAAAGAACCCACTCATGTACCTGACCGAGGTACACATGGACCAGGTAAGAATAACAACATAGCCTATAAAATGTGCATTTTCTTGGAGTGATTGCTTCTGACATTTTATACATGAAAAACAGAAGATAATTCTTACGCATCCCAGGTACCAATTAACTAGCATTTAATTTCACATTAGAAGCAAGATATTATTTTTAAAAGAATGTCTGAGTCTAGGTGTAGACAGCAGAAATTATTCTAAAATTCCTCCTCTGGTCAGGTGAAGATTGAACTTTAGCAGGTCCTTATTAGGAGAGAAGACTGGGAAGTGAGAGTTTGAACCCACAGTGAGTGCACAGTAGGTCTACACACTGCAATCGTAACTGGTGTTCAAGCACCCGGCCTGGACTTTCACCCAGTCACACTCAGCCCTGCCTGTTCACCCCAGTTTCATTTTAAAGAATGATAACTTGAAAATTAAGTCAGAATTACCATCAATGCTTTTCTTTAAAGCTCTCCAGTGGTTCTACCCAGGCTAAGAAGGACTTCTCTCCTCAAACCTCTTGCAACTGGCTCACCTTTACCCTAGCACTGAGCTCATCTTACAGTAGTGTTCTTCCTGTAGCCTGCATGGAAGACTGTAGAAAATCAAAAGTCTAAACCATTCCACAGAAAACAACAGTACACTCACAGTGCATTTGCATTGCAAATTGGTCTTATCACATATGGGCTATGTGGTAGTCCATTTTGCATTCTTACAAAGAAATAAAATACCTGAGCCTTGATACCTTTATAAAGAGAAAAATGTTCAGAAGTACACAGTTCTAGGGATTCAAGGGCATGATTTCAGCTCTAGTGAGGACCTCAAGGTGGAAGGTAGAAGCCAATGAATGGGGGGAAGAGAGAGTGGGTGGGGGGAGATGGGGGGGAAGAGGAAGAGGAGGAGGGAAGAAGGAGGCGGAGAAGAGGAAGATGGAGAGGAAAGAGAAGAACGAAACAAGGGCCAAATCAGAAACTAGAGAGGGGCTGGAATGCCACTATGTCTTCCAAGGACTCCCTCCCGATTAACCTACAGACCTCCCTGTAGGCTCCAACTATTAAAGGTCCCATGCCCTCTCAACACTATCATCCTAGGGATCAAGCTTCCAGTGAATCTTGTGTCACAAACTTCATCTAAGCCATGGCAGTCTATAAAACCTAGCCATTTCATCAAGTCACACTGGAGGATTTGAATACAGTGGTCCATCTTAGTGATCACAAGGTGTGTGGCTAGATCAGGGCTGTGGAAAGAAGCCTAACAGCCCCTCCATACCTCCCTCCCCTCCCCTGCCAGGTGACAGCGAGATTTCCTAACTTGAGGAAGGGCATCATTAAAACATTTTGCTTCCAAATCTGATTTTGTGTTCTTCTTTTTAGGCTGGTGACATCAGTTGTCAAGCAGAAATAAATCCACTGAAACTGGGTCAGACATCTTCTTCAGTATCTTTCAAGAGTGAAAACTTCTGGCACATAAAAGAATTGGTGAGAACAGGTTAATAATTAAAGTTTCTTTCAGCAATTTAGAGTTTGTTTTACCTGAAATCAAGGAACTTTTCTCCAACCAGATGGTATCATAGAATTTTCTCATTTTTTGCTTTTTGATGGCTTGTATAAATTAAGATTTAGAAAATAAATTCTCAAGTCTAGGTTATTGAAATTATTACTTATCCCATTACTTACAAATTATATGTTCAGAGTTTATGATATCAAAATGATACATGTGAAATAACTGTGTCTAAGTGTTATGTACTTGAAAAATATGACAGAGGGCTGGGGATTTAGTTCAGTGGCAAAGCGCTGCCTCACAAGCGCAAGGTCCTGAGTTTTCAATCCCTGGTACCGGAAAAAAAAATAAGTAAATAAAATAAAAATAAAATATAGCAGAGCTGTGAAGGGACTGGGCATCTCCCTTCAACATAATCACTGATGACTATTATGTAACTGTTAAATATGCTTCCCTCTTCTGTCTTTTAATATTTTATTATCTCCTATTGCTGAGCTATACCCTTTTTGGGAAAAACATTAGTCTAGCATCTTAGCATGGTGTTTGGCATATATTCTAGACACATATTAAGTATTCAAGTAAGTAAACATTTAATAAGTAATAAACCCTAAATTATCCACAGCTTTCCCTTATCAAAAATAATGAATGGTATTTTCCTGGTTTAAACCTTTCATTGCAACCATTTAACTTTGTGAAGGATGGGAGAGAAGCAGGACAATAGAATAAAATTGTGTTTTTTTTAATGGCGTTAGTGCACTTGGAGATATCTATCTATAGATAGATAGATAGATAGATAGGTAGATAGATAGATAGATAGATATATGGTTTGCGTAAGTGTACCACACTATCTTTTGTCCTGGCAATGGGCCAATATAACATACATTTTTTAAAAATCCGCCTTATTTTTAAGGTAAGTTTAAATTCACAGAAAAATTAAGTGGATTCATCACAAATTTCCCATATAGCCTCTCTCCTCACATAATCATGGTCTCCTCCATGATCAAAGTCCTGAGCCAGAGTGGTACAGTTGTTATGATATGAACCGACACTGATGTATCACTGTTAACTCAAACTCCATCATTTACCTTAGGGTTTTCTTTGACATTGTAAAAATCCACATTATAAATTTTGACAAATGTATGATGACATGTATCCACAATTATAGTACCATAAAAAGTGGTTTTACTGCCCTCAAAATTCTGTGATCTACCTGTTGATCTCTCCCTCCCCAAACTCCCAATAACCACTATTCTTTTACTATTAATTTTTTTAACCTAAGAAATTCATCTTTATGGTTAGGTTTAATGATTAAAATACAATAATTTTTGTTAATGTTCAATGACTTTCCTAACTAGTACATTGTTGATAAGGTGAGTTACCCTTTTGTTATTACTATTTTTAACAGTGCAATAAATGCACTTGTATATTTGCTTCACACACGTCTGTTTTTTTCCTGAAGTTGTCTATACAGATAAGAAATGCCTGGAGGAAAGAGTGTTCAATTTTTGCATTTTGTGACATAGTACCAAAATCCCTTAGAAAGTTGTTATAAGTACAAGTAGTTCATGAGATTGCCTGTTTCCCTAGATCCTTCCCACTACTGGCCTTTATCTATCTTCATAAACTTTTAGCATTTATTTTTTATGCCCATACTAACCCTCTGTTCTTTCACTATTGACTCCAACCTGAAAGGACTGCAGAACTGCTTCCTGCAGTAATGTCACCTGCTGGTTCAGAGATCTTGACATAAAAGGAGAATACTTCATTAATATGTCTACCAGAATTTGGAACAGGACTTTTGCTGCAGTAAGTATCAGCTTCGTTTATTGGGTTCATCAGAGACAAAGAAGTATAAGCCTTCATTGTCAAAAAGTTTGTACTCTTTGACAAAATAGCATTCTGGTTGACGTTAGTGGTGCCTGAATAACCTAGAGCGGTTTTACGGTAGAAGGCAGCATGCTGATATCACTCTCCAGGGCATACCTGGTCTGACTGTGCCTCAGAGTCACTGGAGAGCTCATGAAAAGGTCTGTTTCTTAAGGACTCCATGCCAACCTTCAATATCTACAGGAATGGTGTCAAAGGCACCTCTGCTACCGTTGGCTACAAATGGCATCTGCTTTGTCTTCCCCCCAGCTCCTCACATTTCCCTCTTCCAAGTCTCCACCACATGCCCATCAAGACATACGTGTCTCTGGGTCTCTGCTGAGCTCTCAGCTCATTGTTGGATGGATCTCTAATTACCTAGGAGATAAATCCAGCCAAAGGACCCATCCTCCTATTTAGTGATAACCCTCTACTCTCTTGCTTTACCTTCCCTCTCATAAGAACCCAGTCAACACACAACTTTTAAGTCATTTCAATCCCCATGAAAAATTTGAAGAAAGTGCTAAACAATGTCAGCGTTGTTTTTCTGTTGGGCAGGTGTGTGGCTACTGTAGCAATATTTCAGCATAGATTTGGGTACCCAGAGTTTAGTCTGGTGTGAAAAATATGCATACAGTAGACAGGCCTCCTTAAATCTGATGCTTTAGTGACTAGCCATTCCTTTTGCCAACCTTGGCTTTGATTGAGGTGGCAAAATATAAATTAGTCTAAAACCTCTTGAGGGAGTGTGTGGCTTTCACTTTCTTTCTTCCTCTTTCTTTCTTGCTTTAAACTACATTCTACTCCCTGTTTTTCATCACTTTATGACTTTTCCAATAATCACCATTCCTTGCTATGGAGTTTTGTGCAAGATTAGAGGACTGGAATCCTTTGTAACTTTTCCCTGAGGCCAAAACATGGGCAATATTCTTTTATGAAGGCACAATTTTAAAAAAGGAGTGGTGAAAGGTTAGGGGGAAAATACAGAATTGGAGGAGTGAGGAAATGCTAAGTTTGCTTTTCTGTTTTGCTTGTTTTTTTTCTTCGTGTTAGTTGCATTTGTTTCCAGGCCTTCAGAAGAAAAGTCCTTTAAGGTGTCCACTGTTCCACCTTCCTAGCTGCAGCAGCTTGGTACTCAGTTTTACCAGTTTGTTTTTGGATCTTTGGATTTGAGGAACAAGTGTTTTCATAGGAAACTTTGACAAATGGGAAAGAAAACTGACTTTTGCACATCAAAATACAATGCCGCCAGCTCTGTAGAAAGCATTTGGATTTTCCTGAGTTTGTTTAAAGCTATACCATTTTAGCATTTCAAAAGGACATTTCCAACAGTTTTCAGAAGCAGCAGTTTTATTCCTAGGAGCAAACGTAAAGTATATTACTTATCCTTTTCAACATGCTTATGTTGGTTAAACTGAGAAAACACTCCCGAGAGTCACTGAAGTTCAGGTCTTGAACATCTTCCTTCTTCGAGAAAGGTCACATGTTTATCCTCACTTTCTTTTCAGCTATTTTAACAGCAAAGTAGATGTTTCTGAGATCATCTGGGAGAGCCAGTCTGAAACATCTATCTCATTTCCTTCAGTAGATCCCAGTGATGTGCTGCCTTCTCCTGCCACACATTTTCTGATGTAGTGCAAGTCAACTTAACATCTCAAGTGATTTTATCACAAAGACTTCAAGTAGTTTTATCAAAAAGCCTTTCAAACTGAATGGCTGCATTTGTAAGAAGCTGTGGTGAATGCTAGTGGCTGTGCTACTTGGTTCTTCTACATGTGTGGTTTCCTACCTCTCCTTGTTAAACTTGCAGGATATTGTGTACCTGTATGAAGGGCCTGCTTTTGGAGTGCAGATATATCATTGTTGTGATACATCTTTCAGCTACAGGAACTACAAAAAAACTAGCATTTATTTACATGCTACTTTCTTTTTTAAAAAAAAGCTTAAACCATTATTGATATGTTTCCCACATAATATATGTGTAAGGGACCAAATATGAGGGTTAACTTCTGATGCAATCTTCCATCTTGAGAAAATTAAGAGTAACCAGAGACTCAGCCAGTGCGAAGGAAACAAATTGCTCACTTTTGGGAAATATATTCTCTTTCTGGCTCCTAGATACAGCTTAGCAAATGACCTCATGGAGTATGTTGAATCTTGTGCCCTAGTAACCAGAAAAACTGAGTCCTAGCAGCTAGAGCATGTGACAACAGCTCTAAAATCTGAGCGACAGTAAGCATCAGACCCAATATTTGTCTTACAGAGAGAACAACCACAGTGAAGTATATACATCGATAATGTTTCCACTGAAAAAATACTTTTTCTTTTTCTTTTTTTGGTACCGGGGATTGAACTCAGGACCTTGTGCCTACACAGCAGGCGGCGAAACCACTGAGCTAAATCCCCAGCCCTAAAAAATACTTTTTCTTTAAATAGACTGAAGAATATATGTAAAGATATTTTCACATTAGGAGATTACAAGCAATGTCAACATTAAATATATGACCTATATACCTACTCCATATATCCAGTACTATTTCATAGAGACACTTAAGTTAGGAAATCTGAAATTATTCCTGATATGATAAAATATGCCAAAAAGTTTAAGGTATCTGCTTCTGCCATGCATGGTAAAGTTCAAGTGTACTTTTACATAAAATTATGTAATGTATTTGTACCCCAAGAGAAAATTATCTTATCTTTTAAATGTTGGTTTTTTTCAATTCCATTATGTGATTCATTTATCTAAGTATATAAAAGTATTGCATGTGTTTGTCATATCTTGAATGTTTAAAAAATCTTAACTATGATCTTTCCCAATTAAAAACATTGATTTTAAACCCCTGCTTTTCAACCCTCTTCAAGTTCAAATCACATGGGGAGATGTTTTAACTGGCTTATATGTGGACCTCACCCCAGGGATTTGTTTAATTTGTAGTGACAGGGACCAATCATCTGTACATTTTAAAAGTTGCCCAGCAAATTCTGATGGGCAGTCCTGTATACAAAGGTTCTTGAGTCTTCACAATTAGCGTTCATTTGCTCTTCTTACTTTCCACCAGGAAATAAATTATAAACTCGTCAGGTTTTCTGCTGCTACAATAAAATATTTTCTTTTCTGTGTGTTCCAGTCCACTTTCCAGACAGTACAGCTGACAGCAACTGCGGAAATCAATACCTATAACCCTCAACTATACGTGATCGAAGAAAACACTGTCACGGTGAGTGTGTGATATCCTCCCCACCAAAAGGTATTGTTTCTAAAGATGCCGATAATAATTTTTCTTACCTGCATGTATATGGAAGAATCTTACTGAAACTCTGAGAATCTGACATCTTTCATGTTGAGCTTTGGCAGGGGCATTTGCTACTCAGGAAGTTCAGTGGTATAACTGCCCTGCTTCAGGCCCCCATGCTGGCTTTCCAAAAAGTTATGATCCAAAGAAAGTCTCAACAAAAGGGCTTTGTCTTGTTAGGGATGCCCTGTGCCCCTTCTTCATGCCTATACCAGCCCTATAGGTCTTTCTTCCCCTATGCTTATATAAAACCATCTAGATTGTAGCCCATAAAATCTGTTATGACTATTTAAATCATAAATTGTGTTTTAGAGTATTTTTAAGAAGTACTGAAGCATGCCTAAAAAATAAGGTATTTATTATTGAAGATTTTTTTAATAGTGTATATTACAACAGACTGACACAGTGTGGCAAGTTCATTCATGGTCTTACATTCTAAAAAACTATAATGCTCCCCTTGATAAAAATGGTCCTTCAGAGAAGTGTGCTCTTACAGAAGACAAGGGATTTCTATTCCAAAGGCTGGCACAGACAACTCTCCTTTGCAATGAGACTCTGGTTAGCACATGCCATTTTTAGATACACTATAGTGGGACTTCCATGCCTAGCTAATCTGCTGGCAGAGGCCTCAGAATTTTCCTCTCAAATTTTTTTTTGAAGTTGTAAGTGAGTTCATGACTCTGCCCTCAAGTTCAGCTGGGCAGTTGGTCTCAGTCCACAGCTCCAGCCCACAGACTTGCTTAAAACTCGTGAACTCTGTGCCTCTCTCAGTGCCTGAGAATACAGCTTGCAGCACTCCTGTTCACTCTTGTCCCAGGGAAAGTGATTCCACACAACAGACAAAGCTTTTCTGTCTCTGTCTGAGGACACTCAGTGAAAGCCCATGCCCTCTCTTCAGAGGCTGGGCATGGAAACTCAGAAATAGAGCCAAAGGAAATGCAGACTTCAAGTTCGAACTGCTATGAACTTAGCCCAGAAAGGACTGGGCTAAGAAAGCACTGTACGTTTTTGTTAAAAGCTCACTTTAGAACAAAGCAATTTAAAAAAAAAAAAAATGTAAAACTCGGCTATAGTCTTTGCTTTTTAGAAAGCAGTCATAAACATAGTCACTGAAAATTCCAACGAACAATTTTCATGAACTCGTGATATTTTTTTTCTTGGTTTTCTCTGAGCGGTACTAATAAACAACAGAAGCCAACTTTTACTTAATTGCATCTATGCAAATATTTTTTGAATACAAACAGTAATTTGGATATTTTCATGTAGGAAAGTAATAAATTGTTACACTTATTTCAATTCCAGGCCCACTTAAAAGGGACAAATCAAATTTTATGCTCATGACTCCAGACTCCATGGACTCCAGATTAAGAATCTCTGAAAGGGAGAGAAGCAGGCATATAACTGCCAGTAAAGAAGAAATGATATGAATTTAAAACAACTTTATTCATAAACTTACAAAAAAAACATTATTTTAGTTTTTGAAGATGTTAATAATGAGAAATATATACCGATAATTATGTGAAATAAAGCTGCTCATTCACCACTGAAATTTAATATTAAATCAAGTAAATAGATTTTCCTATTCTTTTGCTTTATAGCAAAATAGCTTTTTAAGAATATATTTTGGGTTTTTTTTTTTGGTACCAGGGATCGAACTCGGGTCCTTGCGCTTGCACAGCAGGCGGCGAAACCACTGAGCTAAATCCCCGGCCCTTAAGAATATATTTTGAAGGAAATGATTGAGACTCCCCATTTACCAGGAAAAAAATAGAATAGGCAGTGTTACTATTAAAACTCTTAGGGCAGCCATTCTATTACAGCACCAGAAAGATTGCAGGAAGTGGGCATGAAGAGACATAAATATACTCCAGAACAAGCTCCTCTCTTTTGAAAAGGTCAGCTTGAGTCTTGAGACTTAATTTCCACTTTCCAGCAGTTGATACCAACCTTCAGTGAGACTGAAGAGAAGTCAGTACTCAGACACCCGAAACAGAGCTATTGCTGTTGAACTACTGTAGTGTTGATTCGGGTGGTTCTGACCCTCTCTCCAAGACCCTCTGCTCTCACTTGATGATGAAAACCAATGCTAGAAACTAAAGCCCCTATCTTACAGTTAAAGCATCGAGGATTGTCAGGCGTGACATAGATATAAAATACTAATGCAATCAGGAAGAAAAACCTAGAAAATGTGTATTCATTATCTAGATTTTGCAGGGTTTTTCTTGAAAATTTTTTTCTGTATAATGCATGCCATCATGAGCAAGTCATGTCGCCTTTCTAGAGCTGGGGATGTTCATTTATAGATGACTGAATTGGATGTGACTCTCACTTTTTTAGTGTAAAAATCTGATAACTCAATTGTGAACATGTATTTTCAGATTCCTCTTATGATAATGAAACCCAACGAGAAAGCTGAAGTACCAGTAGGAGTTATAGTAGGAAGTATAATTGCTGGAATTCTTTTGCTCTTAGCTCTGGTTTATGTCTTATGGAAGGTAAGAAAATTTCCCATTTTAAAATACAGGGCTCCTGAGAGCCTGTCCCTTACAAAACAACAATTTTAAATATTATATGGTACTCTTCTGTTCTGGGGGAAAGAAATACAAGTTTGTCTACAATTTCTCATTCATGTCTTTGGAAGCTCATTAGGATTTTATTTCTTTCCTAAAAAAAAAAATCCTTTCTTTCAGCGTCCTGTACATTTTATTCTGCTTCAGATAAGTAGATTCTGGGAAGCTAAAAATGGCAGCTTATGACTGTACTCTAAGATACCCAGGGGGCTGAGGCAGGAGGACCCCCAAATTCAAGGGCAGCCTGGGCAACTTAGTGAGACCCTGTCTCAAAATGAATTAAGATGTAGGAATGTAGCTTAGTGGTAGAGTACTTACTTAGTATTGTGAAACCCAAGGTTCAATCCCCAACACTGTTTAAAAAAAAAAAGGCAAGAATTTATCTTTATGCAATTTTGAACTCTCTGGATATAAATTTCCTCTCTAAAAGAGTGACAGATAAAGGTTCAACAGTCTGCACATGACTCTCTCCAGAACCTCAGGGATTCTCAAAGATGTCTTAGAAACAGTGGGCAGCAAAGAGGGTCAGTCATCATACCAAATAAGTCATGGTGATAACATCATTTTTCAATTGTGCACATGTATGGGGTGCAGTGTGATATGACTGCACATGATATATGTACTCACTGAGCAATGCTCAAAGTAGGATAATTATCATACACAAAGGGTGGTAACATTTTATATCATCATCTTCACAGCTCGGCTTCTTCAAAAGAAAATATGAACAAATGGTGAAAAATCCAGATGAGATGGATGAGACCACAGAACTCAACAGCTGAGCCACCTGGCAAACTCTACCTCAGTGGGAACTGTCAGCATCCCGGCCAGGGTCTGCTATTGTCACAAATGGATCTTTTTTTAAAGTCTAAGTTTTTAAATAATGTAATAGGTAGATTAGCCTGATATTTTAAGAGAAACTGCTGTCAGTTTCCAATGAAGAAATTGTGAGTGAGGATTAGAAGTAAAAAGAACAAAAAACTTATTTTTTACAGAGAAGAAAAAAAGTAATCCTTAAACTGGCTGGTACAGTTTGCATTGTATTGTACTGTGTTGGAAACATAAAATGCTTCCAGGTATGCAAGTCTTAAATTTTGAGAGTGGGGAATTCTTTCTTTAAAATGATTGATTTAAACAGCAAAAACAAAAGAATATATGTGATAATACTATACATTAATATATATCACATATAATTATGTATAACATATACATATTGTTTTATAATATGTATCATACTGTTTATTTATAATACAAATTATATTATATAATGCATATTATATATGATATGCATTATATATTATGCTGGATATTTCCACATATATATAAAATTATTATGAGCAATGTTAACAAGAGTGGACAAAACTAGCACAGGTTGTTTTTCAGTTTATGCTGTTCATTCAAAGTTGCAACAGAGTGTACCTTTAAGTGATTTTATTTATAAACTAGGTAAAATTTGCTGTTGGTTCTTTTGCCCTCAGCTGCCTCTTCAGATGCCTACCTTGCTATAATTGTCAAAACATGATTAATAACTGGAAGCAGCTTAGATAATACCTCCTACTAAGAATACTTCCTATTAAAGAAATCTCCACTTAAGTTGGAGAGGGGCAGTTTAGAAGCTAAGGAACAAAATTTTACTTATAACCCATAGTATAACCAATATATGGTAAAATCTGATCCGCTAGAATCCCGGAGAAGAAGAAAGGAACTTCCTTTAATGGTGCACAGCAGGTCTCTTCTAGGACTTGATTCGCTGGCTAGCAGAAATTTGGTGATTTTTTAAAAGATGAGTGAATTCTTTGCAACCTTTCTGCTCCCTTACTGAACCACTCTCTTACGGTCCTGGTGCTCGTGTGTGACAGAAGCCCCCATAGCCTGCCTTCTTCTCCAGTGGTCCAGTTATCTTCCTTCCTTTACCCTTCATCCAAATCTCCCACACCCTGGGAGGTGTTGGGATGAAAAGCCACCTAATTCACACACCTGTGTGGATTACTATATTAAACTCTTTATCTTCAGGAGGCTACTTTTGCTTATTGCTAAATAAGTAAAGACTAGGTGAATGTCAATGTTGGAATTTCAGAAGGTATAGACAGGATAAAGTAAAATATCTCAGAAATTTGTAAGAAATTATGGACGAGGCATCTGAAACCATGAAACTAGCAGGTGCATCTTCTGTGCTTGTTTCTAGAAGACTGAATTTCACCTGGGCAAGTTTGTTTAAAAGATCAATTCTTCTGCTCCAACTCCTGAGATTATTTGGTCAGATTGGGATGGGGCCCATAAGTTGCATTTTGACAAGTTGTAAGTAGACAGCATTTTGAGGGACACACAATTTCTTACTTCTTTTTCTCCATTCCTGAGCCCACACATTCTCTGGGGATAACTCTGAGGAAAAGGGCATGGGCAAGGGCAATAAGGGTCATTTCATGCTGGACACTACGTACCTAAAGCTTTTTGGACAAGTCCTCAAGTTCTATGCACTTCAGTGTCTTCATTATAAAAATGGGGAAACGAGGTTGAAGCTCAGGAGGGATGCTTTTAGTTTTAAAAGTTCACGATCTGGATTTCCTATAGTACAAATAGACAAATCCTCCTAGAATGTGACAGAGAAGATATCAGAAAACAGGAATTTGCCCATGTGTGTATGGCTGGACCTGACTGTGGTGCTGGCCTGGCCCCTGAGGGACCACACAGAGCTATCTGGAGAAAGCAAGACGAGAAAAAAGAACAAAAGAACTAGCCATAAAATCAGGATTTATAACAAAAACAGCGTGGTATTTTCTCTAGTTAGGTGACCCAGAGCCCAATTCTTTTAACAGCTGTGGATTCAGTTTCATTCCAACAAAATTTTTATTAGGAAAAAAAAAAAGGTGGAGAGACTAGTCATTATGTTGATAAAAGAATATTTAATAAACTGTGTAACTACTGCTAGTTTTTCAGTGTACTTTACCAAACACATTTTATTCTGCCTCACCTTCCTTAGATTAAGTAGTAAACTCAGGTCACATACTTCACGCATTGTGCTTGAGATCTCTATCCTTGGCACAATCTTCCTGTATTACACTGTTTCCATGGAGCAGTTGGATTACTCCAGCTAAAGAGTTAGTCACTTATTTCCTAAGCATTTATCACACTAGGGTTGGGTTTTCCAACTTTGGCATTACTGCCATTTTGGGTCAGGTGGCTTTCTTGGGGGAGTGGGTAGAATGTTGTCTAACAGCATCCCTGGCCTCTATCTAATGGATGCCAGGTAACATACTCTTCCTCAGTCGTGACAATCATAAATACCTCCACACATTACCAAATGACTCCCAGCAGGAGTATTTCTCAAGCACTTTTAAGCAAAGTCAAGTATTTGTACAAAAAAATTAAAGGGAGAGGGTATACATTTTTTCAAGTTATGTGTCTTATCCAACCACACTTTTGTTTTAAAAGTGAGTACAGGGCTTTAAACATATAATTTCCATTTCATAAATGGTATACAGACAAGGTGTATAGAATATGATATAAATGTATTGGTTGCTTCAGGCATGGCTACCATACAAGCCTTAAAAAAATAGTGACATAGCTTGATGAAGACATAGCACTGAGACTGAAAATTTTGCATTACTTATTTTAGCAAAAAATTAATAATTCTTAATGTACTTTTTTCTAGCTAGCAGTCATTTTCATAAAATAGTGAAAGTTATTAACTGTGAAGAGCAAAGAAAATTAAAGCCAATTATGTCATGTAGTAACACTGAAAATTATTGTAAAAGGTGTAATTTTTACTATATTTATCCTGATAAAACTATCACCCAATATATAAAAATCTTATAAATTAAGACACCATTAAAAGGCAGGATTAAACTTAGGCTTCTGATATTAACTTCTTTGATATTTCAGTTAGTACACATAAAATAATCATAAACTTTTTAGGATTATGTCCTTCATGTACATAAAATGGGCATAACCATTTTAATCCATTTGAAAGATTAACTTAACTATCTGGAGGTGAAAGATAAATATGAGGGCAAAGTGTGAAACAAATGAAAATATTAACTACTTATAATTTTAAAGAATAAAAATGTAGCCATCATGTAAATATATAATCACATGTACTTGATTTATTTTAGAAGATGAAGTCATAATATAAATGTATATATATTGCAAACTGTGTTAGAAACTATGTATTTTTTAAAAAAGAAATTGTCTTGTTTCCTTCATAAATAATGCACAGGTCTATCAAATTTGCTTTTTTTATGTGTTTTGTCTCTTTTCCTCTCCATTAAAACTATAAAAATGAATGTATCTATGTCTGTATATCAAGTTGCACAACTCATTTGATTTCTAAGGAATAAAAATTAATTTGGAATAGTAATCAAACCAAACTAATAGCTTTCTTAATATCACAGCATAAGAACCAAACAAAATTTTTCTTTAAGTGTAAACCACTCTTTTCATACCACATTGAGTTAAAATTGTTTTGAAAATAAAGCTATTTTCTTTGGGTGTGGATTTTTACTAGTTATGCATTTCACTATATGCATCTTCTAATGGCTTTATTTGGCTTCAGAACACATTTAAGATTCAATTTCAGAGGATTAAGGATGTAAATATCCATAGAATTGGTCTGGTAAGAAAAAAAATATTAGGCAAACTGCTACAAGATGCAGATGCATAGTTAATAAACATAGGTTTTTTTTTAAAAAAATGTAATAATAAACAGGGGGCCTAAATATTTTAAAAGTTAAATGTGCTGAAATGAATACACTGAAGAATTAAAAGATGTATATCAGATCCAGACACTCATCAGTGTATGGATGGCAGACTACTCCAAAGTTAATGTCAATCCACCAACATCGCCTCCTGCATCAGGCATGCTCTCTTGTGCCTTCTTGTAGATCTCAGTGTAGTGAAACATCTCATTAGGGCAACAATCACCTGTAAGTGTATTTGGTATGTATCTCACATTAAAATATAATTTGGAGATGGGAAACCTTAAGAGGCTAAGGCAAGAAGATTGCAAATTCCAGCCCAGCCTGAGCAACTTAATAACTTAGTGAGACCCTGTCTCAACATTAAAAAAAAAGAGAGAGAGAGAGAGCGTGAGCTAGGGAGAGAGAGAGCTAGCTCAGTGTAAAGACCTTGGGTTCATGCTCCAATATGGGGGGAAATGTTGGAGAAAAAGAGATCAGTTGTTTTGTTTTCACAGAGCAAGTTAGGAAATGCTGCTAAGCAATTGTATTAAAGCTATCATTTTGTTCCATGTAGTTAATTGGAAGGCAGCTCTGCTCACCACTATACCACCAATGCTATGTAGGTAATTGGAAAATAATTGTTTACTCACTTTTTACAGGCAATTCATTTTTTAAAAATTTTATATTAAGCATTTTAAAAATCCCGCTCATCATAATCTATAAATATTTTAAACTGAGTCACCAGTTAAAGATTTTGGACAAAATTTGGGTTCAATTTTCTTTAAGATCTATGCCAGACTTATTTTGAAGAAAACTGCTGCTAAACTTTTTAGTCTATGAAAAAAAAAACTGTTCTTACTATAGCCCTGACTCTACCGCCCTCTGCTGGATGATCCTCCTAACTGCAGCACATAAATCAATAATACCTTTAAGAACATACTTAAAGTTCAGTAAATGTCATAGGATGGAAGTGGAGAAGGAATGGAAGACCCAAGTTGTGCTTGTGAATCATTTACTTAGCCAGATGCTTTTTCACATCTGTAAGTGCTACAGCTGCACACGTCAAGTGTGTTTATTTTGGGACACAACTGGTACACCAGCAGCACTGGTATTCATTCAGCAAATATTTAAGTGGGGATATCTAGTACATCAAGCACTAAGAACCACAACAAAATATAAGGCAGGTTAACGATGCAGCATTCCAGTTTTAGATAGAGCAGTGAGAGAAGGTAACATTTAATCAGAGACTGAAAGAGGAAGGACTCCCTGGGAGTGTCTGAAAGACAGATAGATGAAGGCTGTCAAAGGCAGGAGTAGGCTGCCATCACCTGGCACAGCAAAGCAGCATGCCTGGAAGGAGACAAGAGGTGAGGGACTGCAGGCTGCAGCAAGCAATGAGGTCCCAGGATATAATTAGCTCCGAGAAAGGTCAAAGTAGTACAATGAATAATGTAGGCTGGAGAGGGAAGAGGGCAGCAGGCCCAGGGAGCATGCTGTCCACATGGATGGGAAGGGGTGGTGGAATAAGTATCTAAATTCAAGTTCTGTCCAGAGATCTCTTTCCTAATTCTCTAATACATCCATTTCCAGGAATCTGAAACCAAGACCCAAAGTATTGAATTGTTAATTACCATTTTATAAAAAAACCTGGAAATATATTGACTCTAAACATATCGAAAAGACAAAAATATCTATAGAATATTTCACTCATTGAACATCTGCTGTTACTCTCATTTGAAAATGACAAAACCTTTTCCATCTTGCTACCTGTTCAAAAATGCTTGAAGCATAACTATGAATTTCCTACTTAAGTGAACTCTTTCTGGCAACCATACTAAAAGTTCAGTCACAAGTCCAAAGTGCCTTTAAGAACTTGCAAGCAATCTGCTTAAAGGCTGATTATTCATTCATTCATTCATTTATTTTTTTTAGGTTACTTCTCCGATTACTTGGGTAGACAAGTAGCAAAGGCTTCATATCAGAATGATGCCAGTTCTTAATATCTCAACTACTAAATAACTCAGTGACTCCAAAGAAAGTGAGAATTAATGAAGATCCTGCTTTAGACCAGTGCAGTGCACGAAAATCTTTCAAGATGTTCCATTCTAGCTCTTCTGCCCCAGCCCCTCTGGCTAAGGGACAGACCCCCAAGGAATCGGGACATTCCTAAAACCAACATGGCTGTACTGTAGCTCCCAGTCAGAGACAGGATGCACAATCTTCCTCACTGTATTTAAGCCTGGAAGACAACCATGACTGTTCAACACAGAACAGGCAACCAATAAATATTTGTTGAATTCTGCAAGTAAAAAAATGTTTTCATTAGGTAAACAGAATTACTAGGTTTATCATAGAAACAACTTTCAAGTCTAAAAATTTAGTTTTTGTTCTAAATATACAATACTAACTTTGTGATGCCAATCATCCAAATTATGCAAATATTTTATTACTTTTAAGAATTATATGTGTATACTTGATATCTGCTCAAAAAATATATACTTTCAGTATTCTCACCCTAAAACAACGAAGTACTACATGAGACAATAAGTATGTTAATTACCTGGATTCTGTTAAGCACTTCACAATACAAATATTGTTTAAGATGTAACTAGATCCCTCTGGGTTTTTGTTTTCAGGGTGACAAAGAATAACAGGACAGGACAGGAAGCAGTGGGAATGGTATGGGGTAGTAATTTATTAGAAAGAACAAAGGAAAGCCCACGAGATGAGGCAGCAAGGACACCAAGGAAGTGCCTGAATCTAAACACTTACATACAGCTTTTTGTCATAAGCGTGCGTGAAAGGGCAAAGGGACATAGGATGTGCAAAAATGCAGTATTCCTGCTGCTTACCAGGTTTCTGGTCATCTGCAGATTTTATTAATCCTTTCTCTTCTGTACGCTAACCTCCCTCGAGGTTTATCTTACCTTTAATTTACTCAGACTCTTGTACTTTGTCCCTTTGAATCCTGGTTTCAAAACACCACATGAGAGTCGCGCGGAAGACTCCGAATCACACCGCTGCAGACAGGCAGGTCTGCCCGCACCCTACTGAGGTCCTGAGTCACACAGAACATGCCAAATCAGCCTGCTCTAGACAGGCAGGTCTGTGCAAGCCCTGCCCAGGTCCCAAGTCGCGCGGAGGACGCCCAGTCACCCTGCTGCAGACAGGCAGCCACCTGGTTCCACACTACAAAGACGCAGAGGACACCAGACCACCAGACCAAGGTACTGAGTCCCGCTGCTCCTGGCCCAGAGACAGAGGCTTCTGAGCCTCTATCCCACTGCTCCT